ACTCTGGTGTATCAAAATGGTCCAGCAAAAAGTCTCCTTGTATCAGTATACATGAATATCATCAATCCCAGAAAAATGATAATCATCAAATATCCTCCTTGTAGGCAACATACATGCTTCAAAAGTTGTCTAGTCTGATCTCTGGCCTTAGATCTACAAGCTGATGTAAAAATCTCAGCTCGACTCTGCCAAAAATTCAGAGTAAATTTGATGAATATTGGAGCACGATTTGGAGAGCTGCACTGATGCGCTGACCCATTACCCATGATTTTAGTATGGATTTTAGTATGTTGTCGCTGAGACTATATGTCATCTAAATTACCCCTCATTTTTCCGATAAGATGTCAGAATCACGCTCATGATCATGATCATGATCATTATCATAATGATGATAATCATCCTCATCAACATCATCATGATCATCATCATCATAATCACTACTATCAAGATCATCATCATCATAATCATCATTGTTTACATGTCTATATAACTTCTCCCTTTTTCAATATAGTAAATATTATAATCTATTATAAGACTTGAAGACAGACCACCTTATTCGTCTTCGTGACGAATTAAATTTCTAGTTTATTATTATTCTTTATTTTTATTTCTTCCTGTTTTTTGTGCCCCGGATAACTCAAGTTTGGTTTAGTCAATTTGATTCAATTTTAAAACAGTCATAGGTCATTGTCATGAAACGTGACAGGAACATTTTCAAGGTCATCATGTCATCGTGACGTCATCCAGGCGCCATTTTGTGTAATCACATTATCCATCATATCTTCATGATGCGTACTCAAAGTTCATTCATATTCATATCACATATACTTCAGGTCAAGGGTCAACAGGTCATGTCATCAAAGGTCACATAAAGGTCATGACGCGCGCGTATGTGCGCGTCAAAATTTAAAATTGCTCAAAATCACTTAACTACTAAAGGAGAGTACGAATCAGGTCATTTGAAGCATTTCAAAATTTTCCGTCCTTACTTGTCCCTGCGCGCGGTGCGCGCGCTCACAACGCGCGGAAAAGGTCAAATTCAATTTGTTTACATGATTTTGATTCCTCTTACCGTAAATGATAAGTTACATTAATTTCAGTCACTCTTGACCTTTCATTAGGCCGTGAGCGCGCGTCAAAGTTCAAATTCCGCGCGTGCTGCTATGGGCAATATAATGTAAATTTGATCAAAAACATGCTACTTTATAAATCGAAATAGCTCTTCAGATAGTCCGTCGACCCCCAACTTTTATATCATGGTTGGAAAGAGCATGAGTTGGAGATATGATTTCATACCACCCTGACTCGTACAAAGTGAAACAAAATCTTCATATTTGCATCTAAACTAAAGAAAATGTATTTTGTTGATGACGTCATTTTTGTCTTTGTTTAATTGAGATTATCTCGCTTATCAGTGATCGATTTTCTCGCTTATCAGTGATCGATTTTCTCCCAGATTTCGATATGTTGTAGCTGAGATAATTCTCTATCAGAAATTTATCATTTATTTTCATTTAGATGACGTCATCATAGTTAAATATTCGATTAAAGGCGACAATGCATAATTTGTCATATTTGCGTGTTATGTCTATGGGAGGTCACTTTTTTCAAAACATGAATCTGCATGACAATGTGTTTTGACCAGTATCTCGGTTGTTATTCAACAGTTTTCTCCCAAATTTTAGTATGTTGTAGCTGAGACTATTTGCTATCTAAATATTTCCTCATTTTTTCAATCAGATGTCAGGATCATGCTCATACTCATCATCGTCATCATCATCATCAATATTATCATCATCATCATCATCATCATCAATGTCACCATCATCATCATCATCATGGTCTGAAGACGATGATCATCAACATCACCATGATCATGATCATTATCATCATCATCAGTAACATTATCGTTTTTATCATCATATAACATTATCATGATCATCATCACCTTTACTATCATGATCCTCATCATGTTCATCATGATCATCATTGTTTACATGTCTATATAACTTCTCCCATTCTCAAATCTATCATAAGACTTAGACAGACCACCTTATTCGTCTTCGTGACGAATTAAATTTCTAGTTTTCTTAAATTCTTTTAAATGTCTCGTATATGCTGGTTCTTTTGACAGAACGATATCAATGGTCTTTCCACTAAGGCGGCAGCAGTGTTAACAAAAGACTCCCAGTGTGTATACTAATCATGTAAACCTAGAGGGTGGGCGGAGAGTAAACAGTTGTATGCTTACATATAACTTCACTGCCCTAAAAGAAACTCACATGTAGGAAGATCACAACATAATTATGTACTTAGACAAAAAGTCTACCCTGATATTCAGTGGGTTTTAGAGAGAAAAAAATTAGTGACAGTTTGAGCAATATCCAATTAAAGATACGAAAGTTATGAATTTTTGATGTTGACATTAGTTGAACACATATTTGTAACACTGTGATGTATCTTGTGAGCTCCTCTACAATTTTCTCAGTATGCCGGAAATTTGTTATAAACTTTCATATTCTAAGTTATTGATTACGGAATAGATTTGTTTCATACTGGGGTTGCAAGAAAAACTTATTTGTAATACAGGGTCAAAGAGTTGCCAATTTGTCTTTTATTGAACATATCTTCAAATATTAATAACTTTCATATTTTCAATCGGTTTTTGCTCAATCTTTCACTAACATGTTTCTCTTATTTTTCTGCTTCTACCAAACCAACTTAATATTGGGGTAGACTTCCGCCCCTTTAATACAATAGATACATGTTGTTAAGAGTTATTTCATTTAAGGAAGTTTTGAGGAAAAAATATTAGAAATGATTTACCTTACGATTATAACTAGAAGTGGAGCTTCATGGATGAGAAAAAGATGAAAGCACATGTAGTATAACATTGGGTAGATAATAATAATAATATACTAATTTTTAGATAAAACACAAAAGCTCATTTAAGGCTACATCCAATGGGAAGAAATAAGAAGGGAGAGTGATTCTTGCCTTTGTTTTGGACTCTGATGGCTTTGAGTGTCTGTCACATTCGCAATTGCAAGAAAAGAATTTTCATAATCCTTATGACTTGGGACCACCCCCTTCCCCCCCCCCCCCCCCCGAATTTTTTTAACAAAAATATACTACTGGCTGTTGTTTGGAAGAGGCATCAAAATGATACGTGTGTGATTGTTGCTTCATTTCAAAGAACGTCAACTACATGTACATGTATGTGCTGTGGGGCATTATATAACATGTGACACAAAATCACTCCAATTGATATTGTCACAAAATCAATCTCACATAGTGATTGTATCCACGGAATCAACCCGTGAGAGATTTTGTCCATGGAATCATTTCAAAGTATTCAAACTGCAAGTGATTTTGTCCACGGAATCAAACCAACGAGCGATTCTGTCGAATCTGTCCACTGTATCTATAACACCCGCGAATGATTGTGTCCACGGAATCAAGTCTGAATGATTGTGTCCACGGGCGCACTACTGACATGGATTTTCTCAAATACTGAAGTGATTATGTGAATTCTTGTATCCGAATTAAACAAGCCATTTCCAGATTAAGGATGCTTATGATCAGTTAGACATAAATATTTGAAACGCTTGAATTAATCTATAAGATAGGTTGAAGATTTCCTGATGCCGAATTGGTTTCATTGATATTAACCCAAACTTTAAACTATAGAATATCACAAATTATATCCTGCATTACAAATTTATTGGTTTTTGATTGGTTGAACACATCTTCACGTGGCCAGAAATATTCTAACAATTTTAAGGTTGCTCTGAGTACTATTTGGGAGTTGAAAATTCCCACCTCTTCCCTTTCTCCTCTTTCTCATTCCCACCTCTTCCATTTTCTGTATTGCTCTTATATGGTTGTGTGTGACTGAGTGTGTGCATATACATGGTCAATAACTGCTGTAGACAATGTTTGCTCTCTTTTTTCCTCTTCTAAAAATATATATACCCTGTAATTTGTATTTCTTTTGCAATTTAATTTGATATTGTGTTTTCTGATTTACTCATTTACCAAACACAAATTGCTTCTTAGAGAGGATCTGGCCTGTTATATATTTTGTATTTATGATTTGTAAAAGAAATTCATGCCAAATGAATTGAATTGAATTGGATTAAAAACCTTGCATGTGGAGATTCATTTGAAGTTTAGGTGTTGATAAGATGGACATTATTTTGTATCAATCATCAATTTCTGACCTTTCCCAAGTTTGATTGATTTTTAAAATTTGTCACAGAGTTTTCCGAAAGCCAATTTTAATAAACGCTTGGATATACCAAATGGTACCATAGAAAGAAACTTCCTGACTTTAGGGGTCTTGTGCACATGAAATCCAGAGTTATGAATACTTTAAACACATTAAATGTTAACTTAAGGTGTTAAATGGGTACCCGGTAGGATGCGACCGTCAATGTTGGTCAAACAGCTTGCCAGCGTCAAGTAACGCCCGGCTGGAATGCTCCCCAGGGAGTGGAGATTGTGCACACAATGTGTGCGGGCAAGCACTGAATCCAATTACCGGGGTAATAGTATATTTGTAAAGCGCTTAGAGACATTTGTATTAAGCGCTATATAAAAATTAAATATTATTATTATTATTATTATTATTTATTAATAGCAAACATATATGTCTGGGAAATATTAATTTCAGTGTTATTAGGAGTAGGACTTATCATGCAAACAAGTTGGAAGCCCTATAAAGAATATACAGTATATAGAATTTATAAAACAATCACTCTTACTATGTCATTATTTCCGGAGAAACTTTAGTATGTTCTCTAACTTCAAGAGACAAGAGTTGAATTTGAAAATAAAATCTATTCAATCATTTTTTGTGAAAATGACATGTTATCATGATATGCAATTAATGGAATTTGTATGATATATATAAGGATACAGTCAGAAATTAGAAAATAAAATGTATGCATGTATAGATGAGGTACTTAACTGTATTCATAATTAACGCAGGTCCAGACTATCAAGCTTGTCTATGTCAAGTGTCCCACACCAGCCTCATCACATCACCTAGCAGAAGCACTGTGTTCTATGCCGAACCTGACAGACCTGACACTTCAAATGTATCCCGATGAGGAGTTCTTTTTAACATTGAAAGCAAATGCATCATTCATACAGGTATGTATGAGATTGACATTGTTTTTTATCAATAGTCAATATCCAACCTTTTCCAAGTTTCATTGATATGAAAAATATGTCATATAGTTTTGTTAGAGCCAATTTAAATAAAGGCTTGAATTTACCAAACTGAACCATAGCAACAAACCTCCTGACAAGATTCTTGGGCAAATGAAATCCAGAGTTATGAATACCTTCAATACATTAATAACAAATGTATATTTATGCATACTATTATTTTCAGTATTAGTAGGAGTAGGACCTTTCAATGCAAACAGGTACTATAAAGAGTACATATAGAGTTGTTTTTTAATCACTCTTACTAAATCATCCTCTCCTTGGAAACTTTAGTGTGTTCTTTTTTCAATAGACAATAATTGAATATGAAAATAAATTCTATTCAATCGTCTTTGTTGTCATAAATACAGCTATGCAATTAATGGAATTTGAATGATATATAAGAATACAGTGAGAAATTGGAAAATAAAATGTATGCATGTATAGATGAGGTACTTAACTATATTCATAATTAACGTAGGTCCAGACTCTCAAGCTTTATGATGTCCAGTGTCCCACGCCAGTCGTGCATCATCACCTAGCAGAAGCACTGTGTTTTATGCCAAACCTGACTGACCTGACACTTGAAATGGATCTCAATGAGGAGTTCTTCTCTACATTGAAAGCAAATGCATCATCCATACAGGTATGTGTGTCCCAATGGAAATTTCATGGAGATCAAGGTTCATTGAAATAAAGAAAGAGCAGTAATGATTATATGGTGCACATGTAAACATATTTTTTTTTAAAACACCTTTTTTTAACGTCCATTCACTTGGTATATTGGTACAGTCATGAAACATATACCCCATTCACAGTGGTTTTGAAATTTGTAGCGGCGTTGTAGCGGAGCGGCGACACCGCCATAACACCGCTACAAATGCATTCACAGTAGAAAAGTTATCCCGCTGCAGCAGCGGGATAAATATCATGTACCCATTCACGCTGCAGCGGGTGATTTGTATTACCTCCGTAACAAACACGTGTATGCATGGCTCATGACCCGCGAGTGACCCCGATATGACCGGAAATACTTGCTTGAAATTGCGCGGTAAACATGTCAAGTTGCTTTTTGTATCCTCGATCATATTACTTTTTAAAAAACTAGCATTTTTATTGCTTCCAGTCAGAATATTTTAATTTTTTGAAGTGTGAAATATTTTTATTTGGATAATTATAATACCTACATAATAATAAAATCAATTTGAATCCACTGGTTACTTTATTTCTATTTCACTTTATGTTCCCCATTGCTGTAGAAAAGAGGTCAGTGATAGGTAAGTAAACAAATCACACGTGTTTGTCGCGGTGTTATAGCGGAGAGCCTTCACACTGAGTAAACACCGCGACAGCAGCGGGACTGTCCCGCTGCTGTAGCTAGGCGTCCCTAGCGATAGTTTGTGTCGGCGTTATCGCTAGGCGGTGTTATCCCGCGATAGTTTATAACGGGTCCGAGCCTTCACACTGAAGACAACACCGCGACAGCAGCGGGACAGTCCCGCTGCTGTCGCGGTGTTTGAGGCCACTGTGAATGGGGTAATAGAGTAAAAGCAAACTATACATGTACTGATTCAGTTGAAATCCAAGTGTGTATACGATTGACATGTTTTTGATAGATTGTCAATATCCGACCTTTTCCAAGTTTGATTGATATGAAAAATATGTCAATATAGTTTTTTAAGACGCAATTTTAATAAAGGCTTGAATTTACCAAACTAAACTTTAGTAAGAAACCTTCTGACTTTAGGATCTTGTGCACATGAAATCCAGACTTATGAATACCTTTAATACATTAATTAACAAATGTATATTTATGCGTATTATTATTTTCAGTATTAGTAGGAGTAGGACCTTTCAATGCAAACAGGTTGGAAGTCCTATAAAGAGTACATATAGAGTTTTTATTTAAATCACTCTTACTAAATCATCGTCTCCTTGGAAACGTTAGTGTGTTCTTTTTTCAATAGGCAATAATTGAATATGAAAAGAAAATCTATTTAATAATTTTTGCTGAGAATGTTTTTTTATGAATACCGGTACAACTATGCAATGATTGGAATTTGTATGAAATGTAAAAATATAGGGAGAAATTGTAAATTCAATGTTTGCATGTGTAGATGAGTTACTTAACCATATTCATCATGAACGCAGGTCAAGACTCTCAACCTTAATGATGTCAAGTGTCCCACGCCAGCCTCGTATCATCACCTAGTAGAAGCATTGTGTGCTATGCCAAACCTGACTGACCTGACACTTGGAAAGTTTTGCAATGAGGAGTTCTGCTCTTCATTGAAAGCAAATGCATCATCCATACAGGTATGTGTGTCCTAATGTAAATGTCATGGAGAGGATCGCTGAAAGAAAGAAAGAGTAGTAACGATTATATGATGCACATGTATACATGTTTTTTTTTTCTAAACACCTTTTTTAACGGCCATTCACTTGGTATATTGGTACAGCCATGAAACATAGAGGAAAAGCAAACTATACATGTACTGATTCAGTTGAAATCCAAGTGTGTATAAGATTGACGTTGTTTTGATCGATAGTCAATATCCCATTTCCAAGTTTGATTGATATGAAAAATATGTCATATAGCTTATTACAGCCAATTTTAATAAAGGTTTGAATTTACAAAACTGAACCATAGCAAGAAACCTCATGACTTGTGCACATGAAATCCAGACTTATGAATACATTAAATACATTAATAGCAAATACATATTTATGCGTATTATTAGTTTCAGTGCAAGTAGGAGTAGGGGTCGTCAATGCAAGCAGGTTGGAAGCCCTATAAAGAATAGATATCAAATTTAAAAAACATCACTTTTACTAAATCATCCTCTCCATGGAGTCTTTAGACAATAATTGAATATGGAAAGAAATCTATTTAATAATTTTTGCTGAGAATATTATTTTGAATACAACTATGTAATGAATGGAATTTGTATGAAATGTAAGAATTTAGTGAGAAATTTGTCAATAAAATGTATGCATGTATACATAAGTTACTTAACTATGTTCATCATGAACGTAGGTCCAGACTCTCAACCTTGAAGAATTCCGGTGTCTCACACCAGCCTCATCACAGCACCTAGCAGAAGCACTGTGTTATATGCCAAACCTGACTAACCTGAGACTTGTAATGTTTCACAATGAGGAGTTTTTCTCTACATTGAAAGCAAATGCATCATCCATACAGGTGTGTGTGTGTCCTAATGTAAATGCCATGGAGATGTTCACTGAAAGAAAGAAAGAGCAGTAATGATTATATGGTGCACATGTACAGGTGTATACCTGTTTTTTTTCTCCAAAAACCTTATTTTAATGGCTGTTCACTTGGTATGTTGGTACAGTCATGAAACATAGAGTAAAAGCAAACTATACATTTACTGATCCAGTTGAAATCCAAGTGTGTATACGATTGACTTTTTTTTTAAATCGATAGTCAATATCCAACCTTTTCCAAGTTTGATTGATATGGAAAATATGTCATATAGTTTTATTACAGCCAATTTTAATAAAGGCTTCAATTAACCAAACTTAACCATAGCAACAAACCTCCTGACAAGGGTCTTGGGCAAATGAAATTTAGAGTTATGAATACCTTCAATACTTTAATAGCAGATGTATATAAATACATATTATAAATTTCAGTATAAGTAGGAGTAGGACCTTTCAATGCAAACAGGTTGGAAGTCCTATAAAGAGAACATATAATTTTTTTTTAAATCACTCTTTCTAAATCATCCTCTCCTTGGAATTTTTAGTGTGTTCTTTTTTCAATAGAAAATAATTGAATATGAAAAGAAAATCTATTTAATAATTTTTGCTGAGAATGTTTTTTTATGAATACCGGTACAACTATGCAATGATTGGAATTTGTATGAAATGTAAAAATATAGGGAGAAATTGTAAATTCAATGTTTGCATGTGTAGATGAGTTACTTAACCATATTCATCATGAACGCAGGTCAAGACTCTCAACCTTAATGATGTCAAGTGTCCCACGCCAGCCTCGTATCATCACCTAGTAGAAGCATTGTGTGCTATGCCAAACCTGACTGACCTGACACTTGGAAAGTTTTGCAATGAGGAGTTCTGCTCTTCATTGAAAGCAAATGCATCATCCATACAGGTATGTGTGTCCTAATGTAAATGTCATGGAGAGGATCGCTGAAAGAAAGAAAGAGTAGTAACGATTATATGATGCACATGTATACATGTTTTTTTTTCTAAACACCTTTTTTAACGGCCATTCACTTGGTATATTGGTACAGCCATGAAACATAGAGGAAAAGCAAACTATACATGTACTGATTCAGTTGAAATCCAAGTGTGTATAAGATTGACGTTGTTTTGATCGATAGTCAATATCCCATTTCCAAGTTTGATTGATATGAAAAATATGTCATATAGCTTATTACAGCCAATTTTAATAAAGGTTTGAATTTACAAAACTGAACCATAGCAAGAAACCTCATGACTTGTGCACATGAAATCCAGACTTATGAATACATTAAATACATTAATAGCAAATACATATTTATGCGTATTATTAGTTTCAGTGCAAGTAGGAGTAGGGGTCTTCAATGCAAGCAGGTTGGAAGCCCTATAAAGAATAGATATCAAATTTAAAAAACATCACTTTTACTAAATCATCCTCTCCATGGAGTCTTTAGACAATAATTGAATATGGAAAGAAATCTATTTAATAATTTTTGCTGAGAATATTATTTTGAATACAACTATGTAATGAATGGAATTTGTATGAAATGTAAGAATTTAGTGAGAAATTTGTCAATAAAATGTATGCATGTATACATAAGTTACTTAACTATGTTCATCATGAACGTAGGTCCAGACTCTCAACCTTGAAGAATTCCGGTGTCTCACACCAGCCTCATCACAGCACCTAGCAGAAGCACTGTGTTATATGCCAAACCTGACTAACCTGAGACTTGTAATGTTTCACAATGAGGAGTTTTTCTCTACATTGAAAGCAAATGCATCATCCATACAGGTGTGTGTGTGTCCTAATGTAAATGCCATGGAGATGTTCACTGAAAGAAAGAAAGAGCAGTAATGATTATATGGTGCACATGTACAGGTGTATACCTGTTTTTTTTCTCCAAAAACCTTATTTTAATGGCTGTTCACTTGGTATGTTGGTACAGTCATGAAACATAGAGTAAAAGCAAACTATACATTTACTGATCCAGTTGAAATCCAAGTGTGTATACGATTGACTTTTTTTTAAAATCGATAGTCAATATCCAACCTTTTCCAAGTTTGATTGATATGGAAAATATGTCATATAGTTTTATTACAGCCAATTTTAATAAAGGCTTCAATTAACCAAACTTAACCATAGCAACAAACCTCCTGACAAGGGTCTTGGGCAAATGAAATTTAGAGTTATGAATACCTTCAATACTTTAATAGCAGATGTATATAAATACATATTATAAATTTCAGTATAAGTAGGAGTAGGACCTTTCAATGCAAACAGGTTGGAAGTCCTATAAAGAGAACATATAATTTTTTTTTAAATCACTCTTTCTAAATCATCCTCTCCTTGGAATTTTTAGTGTGTTCTTTTTTCAATAGAAAATAATTGAATATGAAAAGAAAATCTATTTAATAATTTTTGCTGAGAATGTTTTTGATGAATACAACTATGTAATGATTGGAATTTGTATGAAATGTAAAAATATAGTGAGAAATTTGTAAATTAAATGTGTGCATGTATAGATGAGTTACTTAACTATGTTAATCATGAACGTAGGTCCAGACTCTCAAGCTTTATGATGCCCAGTGTCCCACGCCAGCCGCGCATCATCATCATCTAGCAGAAGCACTGTGTTGTATGCCAAACCTGACTGACCTGACACTTCATATGGATCTCAATGAGGAGTTCTACTTTTCATTGAAAGCAAATGCATCATCCATACAGGTATGTGTTTCCCAATGGCAATGTCATGGAGATCGAGGTTCATCGAAAGAAAGAAAGAGCAGTAATGATTATATGAGGCACATGTATATATATGTTTTTTTCTCTATAAATACCCTTTTCTAAAGGCCATTTTCTTGGTTTATTGATACAGTCATGAAACATGGAATAAAAGAAAACTATACATGTACTGATTCAGTTGAAATCCAAGTGTGTGTGGGATTGACATTGTTTTGATCAATAATCAATATCCAACCTTTTCCAAGTTTGATTGATATGGAAAATATGTCATATAGTTTTGTTAGATCCAATTTTGATGAAGGCTTGAATTTACCAAACTGAACCATAGCAACGAACCTCCTGACTTAGGGGTTGTGTGCACATACACTCCAGAGTTATGAATACATTAAATACATTAATATCAAATACATATTTATGCGTATTATTAGTTTCAGTGTTAGTAGGAGTAGGACTTATCGATGCAAACAGGTTGGGAGCCCTACGAGCCCTACACAAAATACATATAGAATTCTTCTGTGTTCCGTAGTTGTTCTCTGATCCCTAATATAGTATGATAAAAAGTATGAAGAGGTGTCATAACAGGTAGTTTTGTATGCCTCCGCTAAAAAGTAGCTGGAGGCATTATTTTTTCTGGTTGTCGGTCCGTACGTCTGTCCGTACGTCCCGTTCTCGTGATCACGTTATCTCAAGAACCAATTGATGGATTACCACTAAACTTGGGTCATGTATGTAACTTGCAGAGCTAATGAATGGAATAGATTTGGGGGTCACGAGGTCAAAGGTCACAGGGCCCATTATGTATGCAAAAATAGCTCGTGATCACATTATCTCAAGAACCGATTGATGTACTACCGCCAAACTTGGGTCATGTATGTATCTTGCAGAGCTGATTATTGATTAGATTTTGGGGTCACGAAGTCAAAGTTAAAAGGTCACAGGGCCTATTATGTATACGGTACGCAAAACTATCTTGTGAATGCATTGTCAATACTGACGGATGGATTACTATCAATCTCGGGATATATATGCATCTTGCAAAGTTCAAAGGGTCATACATGTATATGACTAATAGCTTGTAATCACTATATTCTGAGAACCTGTTAATTGATTACAATTAAACTTGAATTTAAAAAATTGCTTCTGGTTTGGTTTGTGAAATCGCTCTATGTCGGAGGCATCATTTTCGACTGCGTGCAGTCGAAGTTCCATCTAGTTTATACTTGATTTCAGTATCATAATTAAATTACTACTGCTATAGTGAATACTACTACCAGTACTACAACAGCTAAACTACTACTATGATTAATATTACAGGATGTCATGAAATTGCAGTATGTATTGGATCCATTTATATTTGAAATTTCTTTTTAATGTCTTGTGCATGATTTTTCTTATTGTAGCTTTTTCAAAGTCTCCATGCTTCTTTTGATTATGAGATGTTACTGTAGCTCTTGGGTGCATAGTCCCCAAGAAAAAAGATTATAAGCCAGATTTAAATAGAACCACTTACTTCTAACTGATACAAGGTTGACAAGTAATTTTGTTGTTATATGTTATAGGGTTGTTTTCCTCAGATTAGGAAGGGAAACTTCAGGTTCAATGGAGTTGCTCAAGATGACTTGAACTCATTTCTTCACACCCTCTCATGTATGCCAAGGTAAGTACAGTAGGCCTATATGTGATTTTAAAAGAAATTTAGAAATTTAACAGCATGTAGACTTTTCATGAGTAGTGTGATGCAGGAACAATATAAAGAGCCTCTAATGGAATACTAAGAAAAGATGCAATGCTGATATATAACCCCATCAGGGAGCATGCACTAAAGTGAAACTGTGTACCTTAAAATAATGTAAGATTTCTTGTCTGAAAACACAAAATATTCACTAACCGCTTTATTGAACAAATTCCTTACTGTATAGTGCTTTTAACCTAATAAATTTGTAGATTTGTGTGTGTTCTTGATATTTTTTTTACAATGTAGTCTCTTTTTTTTCTTCTTCTTCATTCACTGATCAAATTGTTTCTTGAGACTGGAACTTTCAATAATATCAAAATTAGTTGATTTCTTATTTTTAATCTTTCAAACATATAATAAGATAAGTCTCTCTCCTTTACAGCTTACTTGACTCAGACGGCTCAAGTGAATTGGATGGCTCGGCCAACTCGGGCAACTCAAATGACTCAGACGGCTCAATTGACTCGGACGCCCCAGCCAACTCAGGCAACTCCAATGACTCGGACGGCTCAAGTGACTCAGATGCCCCGGCCAACTCAGGCAACTCAAATGCCTCGGACGGCTCAAGTGACTCAGATGCCCCGGCCAACTCAGGCAACTCAAATGACTCGGACGGCTCAAGTGACTCAGATGCCCCGGCCAACTCAGGCAACTCAAATGCCTCGGACAACTCGGCCGACTGTGGCAACTCAAATAACTTGGATTGCTCGGCTGACATGGCTAACATCAGTGTTACCACTGATGTACACTCTTCAAGAAGGGCATTGCCACCATCAGACCACCCTCAACACCAACCCATGGGTGATGTACACTCTTCAAGAAGGGCATTACCACCATCATACCACCCTCAACACCAACCCATGGGTGATGTACACTCTCCAAGAAGGACATTACCACCATCAGACCATCCTCAACACCAACCCATGGGGGATGTACACTATCCAAGATGGACATTACCACCATCATACCACCCTCAACACCAACCCATGGGTGATGTACACTCTTCAAGAAGGGCATTGCCACCATCAGACCACCCTCAACACCAACCTATGGATGATGTACACTCTTCAAGAATGACAATACCTTCATCAGACCACCCTCAACAGCATGTTGGCAATACATCAGATGATGTATGGCAATTCTCTCAGACACACAGAGAAGGTAGCAGTAGTCAGAACAGGCCTTACAAGAGGAAAGCTCCTTCTACTCAGTCAAGAGTTCCACAGGATGATCCTGAAATTCCAGAGAAGCAATCAAAGTATGTAGTCTAGTTGCTATGGTATCGATAGAGTAAGACAGTGTCCCAGTGGTAACACTTCATCTTGACTTTGTGTATGTATGATTCAGGGCTTCACACTAACTTCTTTTTTAGAAAAGAGGTTCAGATTTAACTTTTTACACTCTGTATGCATGAGTCCTAAGAAAAAACTTCAAAATCTGAGGGTCTGGACCTAGAGTTTTGGCTGTCCATGTGTCCCGGCTAGCCTGTTGATTTTAAGTCCTGGGGAGTGTTTCACAAAGATCCTAAGTAGAACTTAACACTAAGTTGGACTTAAAAAGTATGGACAGCCATTGGAGCCTTAAAATGAAATATATTCAAAAGCAAAAATTGGAGTATTTTAGACTTTTCATCAATTCCACATCAAGAACATGAAATCTCCTATGATAATAGAAAATATGAATGATTTGAATCAACATTTTATGCCTTCTAAAAAAAAAATTACAAAATGTTTTCAAGGATTCTAATGGCTTCCCATAAATTTTAAGTCCAACTTAGAGATAAGTTCAACTTAGGATCTTTGTGAAACACCCCCCTGGTCTAATAGCAAGAAATTTGTGGTAAAAATGGGTAATTTGGGGAATATTTGTAAACATTTGAATATTATTGAAATGGCTGTGTTCTTCTTTTTCACCTTGATGAGTACAGTCCACTATCTGGTGTTAGTGTATGAGTTTTACGAGAAAGAGAACATGATATTGTCACAATGTTTGAATACCTGTGAAAGGCCCATGTAGAAAGTGATACAAAAATTGGATACGTTTTGTGAACGTGTACTCAATAAGCCCAAAACAGAGTTGCATCAAGGGCCCATTGTGTACCTGTTTTATGCAGAAAAGGGTCTCGTTCTGTAGTAAATTTTTTTGAAAATACTCTAAATAGGGGGTCATTTTTGTACTCGGCTATGATAATGCATGTTGCATGTGTATAGAGGGTGACAACACCAGGGACTAGTAGTTATAATGATAATAATAGTGGCTTCTGATATAGTGCACACCCCGTTGAGCCATGACACTCCTGGCGCTCAAACATTATTACCCTGGTCCTAGGGGGCGGCCAAATATGTAGTGCTTTGGCATGTCGGGTGCCCATTAATACCTGGGTGGAGAGTGGCAAATGTGGATTAATGCCTTGCCAAGGATGTTAGAGCTGGGTTAGCTGGGATTTGAACCCTCAACCCTTGGATTGAGTCTAGTGAGTGAACCACTTTACCAGCTCTTAATGCTATCATGTCAACTAACCACTCGTAATGGTAATTGAGGATGTATTTACTTGCCCAGTATTTGTTTGACAATAAATTATGATTAAATAAAATCGGAAATCATTTGTTTGATTTATCACCAGAAATGACCCCAGCTGAAGAACTATTACTTTATCTATATTTTCAACGAACCGCCTACAATTGAAGATTTAGTTACTTCACAACATACAAGTGCTGTTTGATAGTTAATGTCTGTCACACTCTTAGCACGCAATATCATCATGATATAAAATTAGTGTAGACTATTTCTGTGTGTGCACCTTTTTGTGTTCTAAGCGTTCTTGCATTTTGATCGCAGCGCTCTTCCTGAAAGCATTTGTTAAATTGAAACCCATGTTTGATAAAGCTGAAATGAATAACAAATGAGTCAATCGTACATTAGACAGCTTTAATATAATGCATGTAGAGAGTGTTATGTGTATTGTAGACTTTAATCATTTTGCTGTAGGTGATTTGCATGCAATGTATGAAATACGACCAAACTTACACAAAGTGAGTTGTGAGTTGAAGTCCGTAATATTTCAAATTATCTTATCAAAATGTTATTGCACATGTTCAATAAAAATATAGTTAAGTAGAAATAGTTACCAGGAATGACCCAGATGTTAAGAGCTACGGTATACTGCTCTAGTTATCTTGTCAACGAACTTGATAGAACTCAATATAATAGTTGAGAACTAGCTTTTTCTGATAAGGGTGTATGAATACTGGCCTGAGTTATCAGTGTAACAGTTTGTTGGAGATGTATTATTGTTTGTAAATTTATAACTACATTCAGTTCTGGATTTTAAACTCCATCTGAGGAAATATTTTCCAGGATTTTCTTTACAACACTCCAGTGTAAATGTAAATATGCTGCTATAATTTTAAGATACATGTCTCTTTTGCCAATGTAACATGCCTGAGTTATCAGTGTAATATTTAATTTGAAATTGATTATTGTTTGTACATGTTTAACTACAATCACCAGTGACCAGTACTACATAATAAATCCATCCATTTATTCCATCACTCCAGTGTACATATTAATATGCTGCTATAATTGTACAATACATGTTTATTCTAATTGTATTCAGTACTGGATTACAATAATTTGTATGATACATATTCCAGGCTTTTCTTTGCATCATTATGATTATGATAATGCAATGGTATCATACATCATAACATGTATATTTTGAACTTGTTTGTTTACCATACATACAGTGTAAATAAGAGTAATATTTTAGTAAGTTTGCATTCCTGATTGGCTTATAAGATACAAACATAGACACTTCTCTTATGAGCATTCCGTTACCTTGCCTTTTGATCACCATCCTCTTCTGATTAAGTGATGTCATTTTTATAATCCACTCTGATATGATTTCCATGATAGACAATTCAAATCGCTCAGATCTGTAAGTAACAGTGAGTTTATTCGGAATTATGTCATGCAAAAGGATGGACGTAACAGCTCTTTTTATGTATATTGGATGATCATGAATTACTGAAATAAAGTTTGCAGTGCCTTATATATTTCAACATTTTGATGTACAAAGGAGACGTGAGAATGTGCTACCGGTACTTGCAGTTTGATGTTGTTGTATTTGTATCCTATAGCTGAAATGGTGTCACGTGACACTCAACATTGTTCATCAATATATATTTTATTGAAATACTGAATACACTGAAAGTGGATCAGCTTTTTAAACTCCAATAATGCACAAACACGTTTAAACTTATGTGTACATAAAATGTTATGAGTTCACCATTACCTTCATGTTTCTCTGTTTTGTCTGATATCAAGAATATTTTCAGTAATTAATCAATTCAAATAACGATTTACTGGTGCTAGCAACTTTCTTTTTTGATTCCTTCCATTAATTTTGTCTTTGCTTATTATTATGACTATTATTATAAGTATTTTTCTGTATTGTTTTCATAAGTGTTACTCTGATTATTGCCTTAACTTCTATTGTTATGACCATCGTCGTTAGTGATATTTTTATTGATTAAAATTAATTCGATTTGAATTGTATACTGTACAGTGTTTAATGACGAATTCATATTGATTGTAAACTTTTCCAATACCCCAAGTGTGTTACATGAGAATAAATTGTCATTGTCATTAATCTTGTCATTTATAGTTCTCTAGGCGTACCCATTGTTTGCATTGTCTCAACTGTACGCATCTGACGCGAAGGCAACCTGCAACTAATCAAGAGGGCATGACTCCAAAGGTTCGCAAATACCAACAATATTATATAATATTTCATACATTTCGTTATTCAGTGTAACATGTATTCACCTCCAAATTCAGAATCCCACCAGTGCTGTTATTTCAACCTCAGCCTATGGCCTCAGTGAATTATAACAACACTCTTGAAACTCTGATTTATTTTTTTATTTTTTGTATGGTTCATGTACATACATGTTTACAAAGATGTATTAATATGTTTAAATAAAAGATGTATTGGTAATCTATGCAAATATGATTACTTACCGTAATGCAGATGTAATGATATGATAATTTCCTCTGTCATTTTGGGGGATGTGCGCATCTTCGGGTATACTTGTTGTGGTCATGGACCAGCTGCTACTCAGTAGGTCCATGCTGTGTGGTCGATGCATCGTTGGGTAGTTGTTTTCTGAGTGTATTTTGTAAATAGCTTTATATATTCCATAATGTTATTTGTTTTTGCATTCATGAATCAGTTATCTTTGTCACATCATCTGAGGGGCCTTAACTTAACAAGCTATGTTTCAACCAGACAAGGTCTCCTCGTCTTTCTATATTCTACATTGTACTGTTATGATTATACTATCATATTTTGTTATACATGTGATTTCTGGAAGACAAATAAACTTTATACTTGACACTTGATCACTTGATACTTGATACTGTTTTTTTATTTTTGGCCTATAATTTCTAGCACATGTTTTCCTACATCCTCAGAGAAAAAAAATACTTTCATGAAAATGTAAAAATGGTTGATAGTAACTCGACTAATGTAAATATATTTTTATATTTGTGTGATTTGTGTGATTTGATAGATGTAAGTTAACAACACTGGCATAGGAACCGGGGGGGGATACCCGCCTGCCCGCCCCCTCCCTCCTCTCCCCCACTTTTTATGGCTGAAAACCCCTTATTTTGTGCATTTTTAAAATTCTAGATATATAAGATCAATTTCTTCCATTATGCCTGACACAATTTGACACTAGCATAATTTTAGCATAATTCAAGATATTTGCTCTCTCTCTCTCTCTATCTTTCTTCTTTTCCATTTTTTTCTGTACCGCGACTTCCATCCAATCAGTTTAAGCCTTTCCTTCAGTGCATGACCAGACCATGCAGACAAGACTCGAAATTTGCCTGCAACATACTAAGCAAAGAACTGATGATAAACAAAGTTGATGATCGTTATTCGATTTAGTCACACTCTGTCCCATGCGCGGGAGGATTCTGTCATTGAAAAGGAATAACAGTTAAAGGGGAAGTCCACCCTAGCTAGTTGTGATCAATCAAATACAAATTGGCAACTCTGCAACGAATTATAAGAGCTCTCCTTCCATGTGCTTTGTGCATAATATTCCATAAAGTCACATTTTCGTCGTTATTGATGACGGAATATATTTGTTCCTTGCAGAGGTAGTATAGAAACATATTTTCAATCAATGTTTTCAGGGTGCATGTAGGATTGATAATTTTCTTGAGGGAAAATAAAAAAAACTTATTTTGTTAGTACTGACCACGGGCTCGTATGGTATGTCACCGAGTTGCCAGTTTGTGTTTCATTATTAGTTGATCACAAATTCAAAAATTAATAACTACCTTATTTTTAATTGGAATTTGCTCTAACTTCACTGATCTGTTTCTCTCATTTTCTGCTTCTATTAAACCAACTTAACCTCGGGATGGACTACATATACGTGTAATATAATCAAGTCATCAATGCAGATTCTACGTAAATGAAAAAGCTCTTAACACATGCATAATTAAAGCGTTTAGGCATTGAGAATATCCATCTATGATAATTCTGAATTGATTAGCCCCCCCAAAATAATTAAAAAACACCTTTAAAAACTTTTTTTTTTGTTCAGGAGGGGAAGGGGGGGGCTGGGGTGTGTGTGTGTTGAGTAAAATGAAATAGTGCTCACTACCCCTCCCCACCCCCTCCCGGCTTTTTCGCCCCCAAATACTTTCTCACGAATCGAGGGGGGGGGGGGATTTATAGTGCTAGGGGTACTTTGCGCGCGACAGAGTCCTGCCCGAGATTTGTTTTTAAAAAAGAAAAAAAAGGTGGGGTCTATTTGACTTTTCACCCACAGATTTCTTCAAAAGGTGTTTTTTTTTCTCTCTCTTTGGATTCATCAGAAATTTAAAAAGGGAGGTATAAAATATTAAAAAGGAGCTTGTTTTTTTTTCTCTTTCTCTCTCTCCTTGGACTCCTGGGAAATTTAAAAAGAGGGTTATAAAATATCTTGAATATCATACATAGGGGGAGGGGGGGGGGGAGTATATTAAGCAGTTTTCCGGATTTAGGGGGGGGGGGGTCTTCGTCCAAGGCAGGAAAAGTCCGCGTAAGGGGGGGGGGGTCAGACATGTTGGCAGTCTTGAGATAGGGGGGTGCTTCCAAATTAGGGAGGGAACAAGCATATATACCTCAATAACACTGAGTGTGGGGGGGGGGGCGGGCTTCCATATTTTTGGTGCTGGCCGTAACTTTTTTAAACCTAGCTATAGGCCATCCATATCCTATAGGTGCGCGTGTTATGATAATGATACAAATAAATACGGTTTATTTAGTCAGACTTCATATCTGATGAATATTCATAGCGTAGGCCTACTTTAGATTAGAGGTACGACACATCCACTAGAATTTGTCAGTATATATTTCCAAAACTATTTCATACCAAGCATAGGCCCCCACTTTGAACGACAATGTGGTTTGTGACATTTTACTTCAGATTGTCATGCATGCGGTATAATAAGAAGTGACTTAATTGATTGATCAAGTGGTTTTGATATCAATGCACCACCACAACCATCACCACCACCACTCTAGAAGAAAATACCGGGTAATTCACTCCTGAACTTGGGGCCTTTTGCGAATCCATATTTAAATTATTTCACTCTCTTCATACAACAAAAAACACATCAAAATATTTGTGTGTATGAGGCCTAAAAATAAAAAAAATGTTGTATTGCCCTTTAGGTGCCAAACCATGGGTCGGAAATTATTTTTTAAACATTTTTTTCCTCCCTCTTTGGGGTGATGTTTCTCAGTTTTGAATGCCTTAATATTTTTTCATTCATTAATTTTTTTCTCTATAAAACGGTAAAAATAAACTTAAAAATTAATGATGTTTGGTGTCGGTCGCAAAGGGTAATACAACTTTTTTTTAACGCCTAATTTGTGGATGTTATCATACAACAAAGGGCGTAGTGGGGAATTCTAATAAACAACCAGAAGGCCATCAATTCCACGAAATGTATGCATCAAATAGCATCTTAAATGTTTATCCTTTAGAATAACGTCTTATATAAAAGTAATAGAAGATTATGAAAATGTATATGTAAACTCATTTATCTCATATCCCTGGTAAACTTCTAACGACTGTCAGGATAAACAGTTCGGACACACGACGTCTGCTTATAGTTTAAAAGAAAACAGAAAAATAAGAGGGGCAATGTTTGGCGAATGACAAGTAATTTTGTCCCCCCCCCCCCCCCCCCCCCCCCCCCCCCCCCTCCTCCTCCTCCTCCTCCTCAAGACATAGAAACAACAAACCCCTTCCGCTCGAAACGGAGGAGCTAGGTTGCTGCACTGACCTCTACCGGTCAGTGGGTTGCTGGTCGGGGGGCGCATATGTTACTGTTTAGCCACTTCAGTCAAATATACTGTGCAAACGACTAGAGACAGAGTCTAGCATTACCCTAAGCAGTTTTAGTTTATAGGCGTTTTTCATTCACAACTTGCTAGGCCGTCGTCTCTTTCCAAAATTATTAATTTATTGAATTTTCTCTCTAAAAAAAGTTATAGAGTCTAAAAAGAAAAAAAGAGGAAGGAAAGAGGATGGAAAGAGAAAGAATCCAAAAAATAGTCATTTATGACATGAAATTGTACATATGTATATATATAAATAATTCATAAAAATAGTGTGTGGCAAAAATGGTCAACTGTGACTGATTGCCAAACAAAAACAAATCAAGAAGAAGAAGAAGAAGTGTTGGATTGCTGGAGCTGTACATGCATGTGTACATACTCTTATTTGTTTCGGGTTAAATATATCCTCTCTTCTCTTTCATTATGTATTTCTGTGTTCTTCTTCAATCTATCCTCTTCTCTCTTTTTGTCATTTATTTTTTTCTTCTTCAATCTATCCCTTTTCTCCTTCGTTATTCTCTGTTTTTCCTTCAATCTATCACCCCCAGTTCTCCTTCGTTATGTATTTCTATTGTTCTCCTCTATTCTAACCTCTTCTCTTTTGTTTAATGTATTTCTTTGTTTCTCCTTCGTCATGTATTTCTTTGTTTTAATCTGATAGATTAATCCCTTTCTCCTTTCTATGTATTTCCCTGTTTTTCCTGAGTCTAGATCTATGATCCTCTTAGCTCTTCAATTATGTATTTCTATGTTCTTCCTTTGACTTATCCTCTTCTCTTTCCTTATGTATTTCCTTGTTTTTCCTTCCCCATATCCTCTCCACTATCCTTGTTTTCCCCTTTCTATCATATTCCCTTCCCTAAGCTGGGTGCACGTGCTTGCACATAGTGCGCTGACGACTTAGACTCTTTCACCAGAGCACTTCTTGGAATTTTTTCGCGAAAAAACAGTTGTGTAAAAAAAAATATATGCGCGGTCGGGGGAATCCCCTTCTGCGTAATGCATGAGTTACGAGCGCGCGCGTCCGTATTGACCTTTTACAAGTTTGAAAGATCAACGCGTTTTTCTTCTCGGGATTAGCAGTTTTTGTTACCCGTTGTTGAATCCAGGCTATCTACAGCTCAAGGTTCCTGTCAAAATGAATGAAAACCGATGATTTTCAAAAGTTAGCAGCACTGCAGAAAACAAGACTTGGACTCAATATCAAATAACTAGCTTGTGTTGTGTGAGGTAGCTTCCCAAGCCTGGCATGCGTATGCTACATGAGACCCGGCCCCGACTCTCGGGGGAAGAACATCGTCAGCTACCCGCTATTCCATTCGCCGCCGCTTCGTACGTACCTGTACGTACATACGTACGTTCCTCGGCCACTGACCTCTAGCTGGCTCTAGTATGGATTGACTGTGTGCGGATGCTGCAGCGCCTGAACTTGAATTTTGTGCCCGAGCTGACGCTTGAAGTTTACTTAAGCCTAATTCACTTGTATTGACTTGAGACAATGCAATTTGAGTATTGAGAGGTGAGATTTGAGTTATCAATCATGTGCATCGATACGTTACAACTTACATGCAGTAAAGTTGCAATTAATGAAGGTCTTTATTTACATAATTTAGAAAGTCTAGATGATTCTACTTTAGATTTGTGTGTTTGTTTCCTTTGTTATAATTTTTGTTTTGATATTTTGTTTTAGTTTTGTTCTTTTTTTTTGTTTTACAGCGTACGATGTTATTTATTTTCTTCTACTTTTAATATTATTGGCGTGAATCATTCAATTATGAATATTTATGCCGCTATTTCCAATGACCTTGCAAGTTGTAGTTATAGTTTTAAATGTAGTCTTGTACATGTACATCGATGTACTTTTGTACCAGGGCTACCAATTGCAGAGCACCAAGTGTCACACATTGTTAAAGGGACTTTGTAACATTGTTCAGATGAGAGATAGTGGTGCTAAGGTAGTGACTTCAATGCTAGATGTACAATTAAAGATAATCTGAAAATTTGAGTGAAAACGGATCATTATTCATGGTACAAATTGGGAAAAACTGATCTGATCGATTCCTTAATTCTCCCAACTATATTATTCTACTTCTATTCTGCTACTTGTCAAAGCCTGTTCAGCATCAAGACAAGGACAATTTAATTACATTTTAGGTAAATGTAAATCGTCACAAAGCAATAAAATGGCTCTACATTCCATTCCAGACAGTTAAGTGTTGACAGATTTTTATAGCCTGTTTTATGTATTTTTGTCATGGAAAAACAGTTGAGAAAATTCAAAAATGGTTCGGAGAATGTACTGTTAATCACTGTTAGAGGGTGCCTCACATCGACACCTTCAAAGAAAACCATAGATATGATCTTTGTGGTTTGAGAATTTGTTCAGGATTTTTTGCATGTCAGAGGGTTAGTATAGTAGAAGGAATATAGTAAGTAACATTTTATACAAAAATTAAGCAATTTTTTTCATCAACCTTCAACAATGTTACCGAGTCACTTTAATGACAGTCACGCATTGAGGGCCAAAAAAGTAAACTCTGTCACCCATGGCACCCACTTTTGTCACGCATCCGGGCCAAACTGGATTTTTGTCACGGATCAGGGCCAAACTGGATTCTTTTCATGGATCAGGGCCAGACTGGGAAAAAAGGAAGAATAAAAGGTAGTAATTGCTAGACTACATAGTGGCCGACCGCTTCAGCTAGCTCCTCGCAGGGTTCGTGTACGTATATCGCATGAACGTAGCATGCATGCCGGTCGGCTATTACATGTACGTCGCTTGACGCAGGGATATGTGAGTTTAACTCACATATTTAATTACTAGGCTACAGTCTTTTGTTTAGCATTTGTTTTAATGAAATTCATGCATCAATTGCAGAGATGCCAAATTCAAAGATCAGCTATGCGTGACATTTTCATGACTCGGCATAGCGTACATAAAGCGTATAGTGTACGTTTCGAAATCGCACACTATACGCTTTATGTACGCTATGCCGAGTCATGAAAATGTCACGCATAGCTGATCTTTGAATTTGGCATCTCTGCAATTGATGCATGAATTTCATTAAAACAAATGCTAAAGAATAGACTGAAGCCTAGTATTATGACACAACAATAGAATAATTCATGCATGTAATGCACTCTGGACTATAAGGCCTGGGGAATGAGTAGCTAGTGAAAATGATTGTGATCCCACAGCTATGTACGTTCACGTTGAGAGGCTGCAAGGTTTGGGCAGAGTTTGGTTGCTTTCTTTACCTCTCTCAGCCTCTACATATTGCATGGTCACTCATTTGCCACACGTGCAATTTTACACAAAACCATACATGTAGGCACAATTTGATGAAAGGATAACAGTGGTGGAAGCACAATCGCTTTGCAAAATTAGCCCTTCTCAGTCTTGATTAGCTCCATGACAACCCTTTAAACAGTAAACAGATCAAACTTGCACTGGACATAGACAAATAAACTTGAAGCCTTTGGTATATATCTATACCATTGAAAGACCATACGTATTTAAAACTTCCCTCAAAACAAAAGGGCTTGGAAATGACTTTTAGTGGGAACATAATGACCTTAAGTTGTCAAATCGACTTAAGTGATTGCAATCACCTAAGTAATAGTGATTTTCAGACCCTTTTACCGAATGGTTGTATGTTTTGTGGTGCACAAAGATCCAATCAGTTTAATGTTGGCAATTGCAAGTAGTGTCAGTGGGTTATTGATATGTAGACAAATGCTAATGTACATGTACCTGTGACAGCTCATTTAAATTAATGCCCCCCCCCAAAAAAAAAAAAAAAATGTCAGTCAGTCAATCAATAGTGTCTGACAGCGAATTCTAGAAGGTAAACGGTTTCCTTGCATAATTTGAATATAGGACACTGATAATGTTTAAATTTCACAGATATGACATACATGACATATACGGTATTCATAATTCCTGCAAAGTAAGCTATGCATACTACATGTAGTTCTACAGACTACGTTGGCTGCAAAAGGGACATAGTACTGGGCTATTTTGAGCACCTCGTGACTGGGGGGGGGGGGGGGGGGGCCTGGGAGGCCCCCCCCCCCCCCTATGATCTCGGCCGTCGAAAGTCCGATGAACGCGTAAATTGCATGTTTGTAGATATTTACGTAAGGAACAAGATGGTATAATTAGCTTTTTCCTAATATGCAAATTTTGTTCGTTATAGCCTAATTAATTATGCAAAATGCTAATTTTATGCATTTTACAGAAAACTCTTCATATTTGTCTGTAGACTTGTGGAGAATGTTGAAAATGTATTGAATAAATGTTTCCTTCATCTCAAATTCATGAGGTTACATTATTTTTATGATATTTGAAAATGCATAGGTTAATTTGCATAAATTATGAATACGCATTCATGAATATCAAATCTGGAAATATAGAGGGAACTAGAATTATTAATAAAATTGTCAGACTCCACTTTTTGAATGTTAATTGAAACCCATTATTCATATGAAACTTCTTTTCTAACACAAAATAGTTATTTTCATGTGATTAATAATGATAATTTATGCAAATTTGATGCGATTTTCAAATATTTATTTTCTTTTGTATTTTATTGTTTTTTATTTCTTATTATATCTATTGTTTTATTTCTAATGTATTCTTTTGTTCTGGAATACATCAAGTTACTTTGAGAAACATATAAAAGCAATTTGATATCAATTCATATCTCCCACTTAGGAAGAAATACATCTAAACCTGTATTCACATTTCTGCTTGTACATGAATATATGCAATTATAGCATATTTTTGATGACATGCGCATACTAATTGTTATGTAACACCTTACAGGTACATGTATATCCGATTTCGGCGAAAATGGTATCTAAATGTGCGTACATGTAAGACTTGAGGGAAAAAAGTCATGAAACGACAATTCAAAATTCCAAGCGGTTGCGGCGCAATCTCCGAAAATGTTGAGGGGGGGGGGGGCCTCCCAGCCCCCCCCCCCCCCCAGTACAGTAAGGGTTAAGATGTATACTTTCATTTTCTGAAAACTTGCTTAGCTCATACCAATTATAAGAGAATGAGAGCTCAATGAGTACATGTACACTGTAAGTCAATGTCCCTCCAAATGTAACGTGAGTAATCGTGGAATTGCCCACAACAACAATTCTTTTTTTCTTCAAATACGATCAAACTATACATCAATGCAAAGCTCCTGATAAGAGAAATGTAGGGGTGAAAGAAGATTTAAGTTGGAAATTGATTTGTTAAGTTATGGCTTGTCAAAGATACTCATCTCCTGTGGGTCTTTTGCCACGCTTCTTGGAAAATAATTTAAAAACAATAAATATGATCTGCTCGGTGACCTTAATCTTTATCATTGGGCTTTTAGAAATGTATACTACTTACAGCCCCACTGCACTAGTTTGGCAATGAGGGATTAGACCTCCCAGCATGGTCACTGACAGGTGGTTATCTCATCAAATCAGCTCTCAATAAACATAAGAAAAAGAGGATTACGGGGGACCAACAGGCACCAATTAGGCATTGTTTGCTATATAGAGGGCGACAGGGCGTAAGTAGCTATAAGTAGTGCAGTGGGGCTTTAAAACAAAATACAGCTCCTGATGACATGATGGCTTTCGTTTCGCGTTGTGAAAGAAACTCATGCACCCTGATTGACAACTACAAACAAAAATTACAAAATCATTGTTATCTGCCCAAATACAGCATTCATTGATATATATGACCACAAATATACTGAAGGCAGGTCCCAGCCATTCCCCCAAGGATGGGTTTCAGAAAGCCCCCAAAATTTCACACTATTATGAAATGGACATAGTGAATTGAAACCCTCATTCCATCTGTTTTATCAACTTAATATAGATGTTTCTGATTATTGTTCTCAGGTATTGTTGCCCATGTCATCACCATTTTCCAGAGAACTACGTTTCTGTCAAGTGAGAAGGACATCTTACACCATGGATGGATTTTGCCTTCTCTGGTTACTCCTGATCCTCTTGATGAGAGCTGGTGATGTTGAAACCAATCCAGGTCCCAACACTGCAGAAAGGTATGCATAATTATACTGGCTTATTTCAGGTCATCGCATCCAGTCGGGTGGTTGTCTTTAATACACGACATTTCATGAAACAGAAGATCATGTGAAGATACACTTTCAGGATGTTCTGTTTAGTAGATTTGCCACAGGGTTTTCCCAAAGTGTCAGGTAAATTGGACCAGGTCATTTGAAGATGAGAGAGGTTTATTACCCCCCCCCCCCCTGTTTTCACAAAAGGCCGGGTAACGAGAGCACCCGCCCCAAAGTGATGACGTGTTGGTTTGAAGTAAGCCCATATAGCAACCTTTGGGTGTGAACAATAACGTTTAGTTCTGATCACGCAATTGCATTGCAAAAGAAACATTGTTGAAGTGATTCAAAAGTTTGATCATGCATGGAGCGCAAAAGTATTGGTGTATTCTTTTGGGTTTTGGAATCATCACAATTATTATTTTGCCCAGTCTTGCTAAAAGTCACATGCACTGGACACAGAAATGTGTATATAGGACTACACAAACATGTAGCATGAAAGTGTGGTCCACAACAAATTATTTGAGGGCATTTAAAGACCCATCTTTTTCAAGGATCATTCTTTCTATGATACTCCACACTAACATCCACAGAATGAAAATAACGCTGCCGTCCGTCCATACTTCTGTCCTTCCTTTTCGATAACTTTAGTTATGTTTGTAGGATTTTAGTGAAGTCTGATATGAAGGTACATGGTTTAATTAGAATTAGCGAGTTCAAGAGGGCAAACAGAAAGCTTTGCATTGATCTTCACGCAGCAAGGAAGGAAACATTAAACATTTTAACATCTTTTGGGGCAGTTATTACCCAGAACAATACCGCCCCCACCTGCAATTGGGGGCAATATGTTTCAAATGTTAATATCATAGGCAATATATTCTTCTATTCCCATGTTGTTATATAGCATGCTCGAACGCATAATACAAATTGTTGAGTGTCACATGAATGCTTCTCAGCCAATATGATGCTCTCTAACTAGTATACCGTCATACACAATTGATTTGTTATTCATTTTACAGTACTGTCAGTGAAATGGAGTTCCTGAAGCTGGCCCAGGATATCGCTCCATCTTACTTCAACGCTGTTGGGATATCTCTAGGGTTCTCCTATGCTCAAATACAGGCAATCCTGGCTGAGAATTTGAAGAACTACACCAATGCGTTACTGGATGTCTTTATGAAATGGAATGTCAAGCAGCAACCTTCACACTCAGACAAACGACAGCTTTTGGCAGACAAACTACGAGAGATTGACTTGGGTGGCCTATCAGACGGATTACTCAGTGGACCTCAAATTCCAAACAGCACAGGTAAGCAGATAATTCTTGCTACACCAGGGCCATATATTATAAAGCCTTAGATGATTGATCGTAAAGTTCAAATTGAGCGTAAGCCTATGGCTCATTGTGTATTGTTCAAACTTAAGATCAATCATAACTCTTTATAATACGCAGCCCAGAAGACATGGAAAACCATTCGTGAAAGTGAAGTCAGTTTTTACCATTGAGATAGTGATCAGTGCTCTGTGTTCTATACATTTGCCACAGTTTACAGAAGTGTCAAATTTGATCAGGCCCCATCCATATGGTTTTATAATTTACTGATTTATCTTTGTTAACTCTAGATATTTTCTGGACACCAATATAAAGTACAAGTAATTTGAGTGACTGCAGAATTCAATTTACATGTATTAATATATATTCTAATAGTGATATTTAAAGATCGATTCAAGCCCTAGCTGATCTTAACTGAATTTAGGCAGAGGCATACTGGAGATGCAGTCGTATATTTGTCTTGTTTTTTCCAAATAAAATGTGCGATTGTCAGGGTAACTGTATTGTTGAAATGTCCTCTGTATGAAAAATTATTCCAGTGATATTCATCTACAAGTATACAGTGTGAGTCAAAAAAAGTTTACATCTAGAAAATTGCTAATTATTTTAAAAATCATCTGATGAAGGGTAAATTATTATACATCTTATGAAAGAGTGTTTTATCCCAAATCATTTAGTATCATTTTTGTGGGGTATGTGTTCACGCTTGGATGAACAGGAGGCATTGTTTGCGTGAGTGCAAAATTCGACTTGCGCCAAAGTTGCTTGTGTGATGTTTGAATAAAACAATTGGGATTTGGGTATTAATTTGGTTTTTGCAGATCCAAATAACATCCCTAACAAAATTAATCATGCCACACATATCAAATATCGAAAATCAAATACCAATTAACATTTTGTGCGCGCGTGTGTGTGTATGTGTGTGTGTGTGTGACTTTGCTTCTGCAAAAAGCATATGCAATGCATTTCATTTGATACATTCAATTCATTCTCTCACTTGCACTTTGCACTCTCGCAAACAATGCCTCCTGTTCATCCAAGTGTGAACACATACCACACACAAAGTGATACCAAATGATTTGGGATAAAACACTCTTTCAAAAGATGTATAATAATTTACTGTTCAAGGATGATTTTTTAAAATAATCAGCAATTTTCTAGGTGTAATTTTGTACCGGTATACACAAATTTCTCAGATTTTAAATGCCCTTAACCCTACGTTAACTGGGGGGGGGGGTCAATTTGACTCCCCCTGTAGAAATGTTGCGACTACTCCGAAACCGCGGCAGATATAAAATTTTCCTTTCATGACTTTTTTTCTTTCGAGTCTTACGCATCTTTTCAAACAATTTTTTCGAAAATCGGACATATAGTTACAAAGTCACGGGACCTTTTGTCTTCGCATGTCTTCGCATGTCGGCCCGAAAATCGCTCATTTTTGTGATTTGTGTACCGTTACAAAACATGGAAATGTCATTTTTCCTAAAAAGAGATAAAACATTGGTTATTTAGTCTTGTTTAAAGTTTAGGTGTTTGTTTTGGGGTCAAAATAGTTGAATTGTAGTTATAAATGAAATAAAACAACAAAAACAACAAAAACAAAAAAATACATAACTTAAAAAAAAATGAAATACATAAGAAATTATCAAAACAAGAGATAACATAAGGAATAACCTGGCTCTTCCAATTTTTTGTGTTGTATTATTATTACAAATGGTCTAACAAATATATGTAGTGAAAAAGAATGCTTAAATATGAATAATGTATGATTTATGGGCAAAAATTTGAATTTTATGACCTTATTTTAATAAATTACCATAAATATGCAAATGAGTGAATTTTTCAAAAAATTGAAATTACCATAGTATTCTATACACTTCACTTGACATGTATGCAAATTTTCACGGCGATCGGCGGTGAAACGGCCGAGATCTTAGGGGGGGGGGGGGGGTCAAATTGACCCCCCCCCCCATCAAAAACCTGGTCTGAAATAGCCCAGTTAAAATAGTGTCATAAATTTAGACAAGCTTGTAGGACTTTGTATCTTTAAGTACATGCACCTACTCGTAGGTCACACTATCAGTTTCGGACCTTTACAATCCTTTGAGATGTATCGAAATATGTTTATGTGTAATCATGTAAATATGGATTATCTATGTATTTTTAGGAGGGCCACCAAGAGCAAGACTGCTCGAATCACAGACCAAACCTCCTTCAGCTGAATCTCAGACCAAACCACTTTCTCCTGAACTGGTTGATCGGTGTGCAAATGATTTTAAATCGAAGTACAGGTCAACTGTCTGTAAGATCAGAGCTGATCCTCTCGGTCCTACTTCCATTGTGCAGTTTGAAGACTTGCATACTGATCTCGTCTTACAAGAAGAACATGGGACAGAGAAGCGATTGCTAGATTACAATGATATCCTTAATCTTAAAGTCAATGGAGAGTTCCCCAAGCGGATCATGGTTCAGGGAGAGGCAGGGGCTGGAAAAACTACACTCTGTGCTAAGATTGCGTGGGACTGGATTGAAGGGAGGCATTCGAGTCACTTTGTGTGGGTCTTGATTGTTCCTTTACGTGAATTTAAGCAACACACTATTGGCCAGATTGCAAAGTCTTATCTGGCCAAAGACAATCCAACAACGGTTTCCCAGATTACTGAGTATATCCGGTCAAATCCTGACAAGGTATTCATCGCATTCGATGGGCTAGACGAAGTCAGTGGCAAAATCATGAAGACAAAATCTTGCGAATCACAGCCTACTGATCGAATGCAACTTCAGCCATCACAGCCAAGTGTCACCTCCTCAGAGGCATGTGGAAGCTCATCTGAGACTGGTGATATCGGACTTGTAGATATTCTTTGTTCAGATCAACTTGCCTCTTGCTCAGTCTTGGTGACCACTCGCCCATGGAGAGCAGTAGAGATTAGGTTAGATGGTGATCTTACAAAGCTCTACACATTCATTCATGTTGAGGGTTTCAACAGAGAGAATTTATCAGTTTACATTCACAAATACTTTCCAAAGAATGCAGATAAAGCAAATCAGCTTATCCAGTTCACCAGTGAGAATGATGTCATATCTGAAGACATGGCCCGCTATCCTATATATGTAGCCATGTTGTGTCTTATGTGGAAAGAACTTGACGAGCAAACACTAAAGGAAGTGAAATCACTGAAAACTTTTTCTCAAATATTCAAAACGATGATCGCCTTTCTAAAAGAGCATTATGCACAGAAAAAGGTGAAGAATGTAGGCAGCCCCTCACTTCTTGCCTATTTAAAAAAAATTGATGTGCTCCTTGGACCGATTGCCAAGCAGGCTCTCACTGGTCTGCTAGAGAATACATTGGTTTTCAGTGAAGATGATTTCAAAATATACCCAGAATCCAAGGACACTGCCTGTCGGGTCGGGATCTTGTCTCAGGAGGACAGAATTACTGCCGTTATGGATACATATGAGAGGCATTCTCATGTGCAATTGCCAGTCTTCTTCCCTCACAAACTGTTTCAGGAGTACATGGCTGGAGTACATCTTGCTTCCCTATATGAATCAGATCGTAATGAATTCAACAGGCTGATTGAGCAAGTTGTGCTGCCAAGGAAGGAGGAGTTTAGGTATCTCCTGTACTTCACTGTGGCACAGAACAAAAGTATTGCAACCCATGTAATAAAGTCTATGCTACATGTACATGTACTGGGAATATCATACATGGAGAGAAATTTAATTGTTGATGTAGCCTTTGAGAGTCTGGACCCAGATGTAGCAGCCTTGGTGAAGGACAGGATGTCGTCAGAGGAGACTATGCTGATCGTGAAAACATCCATGACAGCACACACTGTAGCTGGGTATACATTCATTGGTCCATATCTGGTAAGTTTGATCATAGTTTAATGAACAAAGTCAGTTCATCCATTTTTGTACATTTTTTACTTTTATGTCTTTTGAAATTTTCTTAACATACAACAGTATTATCATGGAAGGGTTCATAAAGGAAGTTTAACCCTAAAAAGACTGGGTGGGCTAATGTAGCCCCTTCCCCTCCTCTATTTTTGTGATTACTTTGTAATGCTTAAATACATGATGCCACTTCATGATTTTTTCCTTAAAGTCTTGGGCATCTTTTGAAACAAAATTTGGGGAAATTACAAATTACGTTACAAAGTCACCTGACCTTTTGTCTTTGCATGCCAGCCCAAAAGTATCTTAATTAAAAAAGGGTACTTCTTCAGCCAGGCATGATGGAGCAACATTGTATGGCCACAAAAACACATCCATTTCAGAACTTTAGAGGATGCTATTTATAGCATGCGTGACTATTGATGTGTGAAATTCAGCAGAAAAGTGTGCAATGCAAAGATAAAGATGCTGTAAAATTTAAAACGGAAAAAAATTAATATGAAAAAGTTTTGTTTATTTTTCCTTTTCATTTGTCAATATTTAAAGAATTTAAGGGTTCTTGAAAGAGTTGATTTTGGACTTAATTTAGAGTATGCTAAGATGGCATTTCATGATGAGATGAGCAACTCTTGTGTGAGGGAATGAGAAATAGCTCTTTCTTTATAATGCAAATTATCAGGGGTAAAAGGAATGTACCTAACTAAAGAGGAGTGATATGCCCCAGTGGACATACACTCACTGCATGCAGGTCAAAGCTCATACATGCAGTGAGCAGAGATGAGAATGGTTGTAGCTGTGCCTACATGAAGCTGTAATTGATGTCTCATCCTGATATTCTTGCTGTCTATAGTTGGTTTTGGACACCTTAATATCAAGTGAAGTGACTTCATGCAGTCAAGGGTCTTCTACCCTCTTTTGTTAGTTGAACAGCATGAAATAAAGATTGGCCTCATACCCAATAGAACCGCAACAACTGCTTCGTCTGATTTATGACTTTGAGTCGATACCCTCACACTTGCACTATCTAGAGTAATTTGTTAGAAGTCTGTAGCATCTAGGATCTATATAGTGGAGATAGGTAAGCTGAAAGAAATTAAGGCAGGAAAACGGACCACAAACGGTCAAAATGAGGCCTGGAAGTCAATTTCAGTGCACACGATGGGATGGTAAAGAATATACAGACAAAATCTGAAAGGACTTGGGATGGAGAAAGGGACCTAATTTGGAATACCAAGCACTGTGTACAAAACGAATGTGATTTGGGTGGAAGAGGAATAAGAAACAGAATTCAGACCTGGGGCGGTATTCTGAACATTGTTGTAAGTTTTGTTATCTTTTGTTGTATCTTCCAGAGATAACACAGCGCTAATATTGTTGTAAGTTGGTATTCTGAACATTGTTTTATCCCTGTGTTATCTCTTGAAGGACCGCCTCTATCTTATCTTTGACCATTGATGACACACCCATTTTTATGGACCCTACCAATCAAAATCTATTTTATATAAGCATGATAAGTAGATCAACCAATAGGAATACTTTATGCCATATCTGAAGATGCGCCCAGCGCATACTAATCTTGGGCGTAATTAGTTATTTGAGCACTTATTACGCGCGTCATCATTATGCGCTGTTCAATGTGGATCATGAAGACAAATCACGCTTTCAATATTGGTTAAGATGAGAGCATTAAAATAGTCCTATCCTAGCATGTAATATCTTAGAAAGTTCTCATCTGTGATGTTTCCGGTCAACACACAATCTTCTTTTAACTCGTCTATTGACACTGAGTTTGTTCTGGGCAAGAAAGATTGCCTTCATTATATCACCATAAAAGATACAACAGCCCCCTACCTGTTGTAAATATTGTTGTAAATATCATGCAAGATAAGATAAGATAAAAGATACAACAACTTTCAGAATACCAATTATCTCGACATATTATCTCATGCGTATATGCAAATGAGGATTAAACGCCATTTTATTAATAATACGCACAATTACAAGCGCACCAAAGTATGAGTGCAGGCGCGGCTGAAGAGATAAGATAAAAGATACAACAAAAGATAACACAAAAGATACAACAGTGTTCAGAATACCAACTTTATCTTATCTCCAAAGATACAACAATATTAGAGATAACACAGGGTTCAGAATACACCTCCAGGACATCAATGTACATGTAATTATATTGAAGCTATGTACTGGCATGTGCATATGGTGCATCTATACCTTTTAGATGAGATAAATTTGGGAAAAGGAAACTTCATCAATAGTTAGCACATTTTTATCCCATCCGGAAAAATATATACTTTGCTTTAATAATTGATATCCAAATACTTGGTTTATAAATGTTTAACAGAGCATAAAGGAATCTGTTTGATATTCTTGGCCCTACAATGTATGTAACATTGTTGTTATTGATATGAATCATATTGAAGCACACTTTGAATTTGATAGCATTTGCAGCTAGGGCATTTAGAACTCTCAACATACATGACTATTGTATTCTGTAGATCAATTCGTCCTATCTTCTGCATTACTCTCCCATGGTAAGACTGAATACATGCACATTACATGTATGTGCTCATGCAGGGGTATCCATGTTTTACTTCTTTTCTCCTTTGGGAGCCTATGTTTTTGCTTCGTATCCACCATTTTAATTAAGTGATTGTGGAAACCTAGAGAGTGGGCGGGGAGTAATATGCAATCAGTCGTATGCATATAACTTGAATGCCCTAAAAGAAACTCACATGTAGGAAGATCACAAAATAATTATGTACTTAAAGGGAAAGTCCGCCCTGATATTAAGTGGGTTTTAATTTATTAATTTATTATGTTGTCCTCAGTGGAACACATATTTACGACACACTGTGATTTACAAACCTGTATCTTTTGATACAGGTTTTCTCAGTACAAGACATTTTAAAAAACTTTCATTTTCTTAGTTATTAATAACGGAATAGATTTGTTTCATGTAGGGGTTGCATAAAAACTTACTGGTATTTGTGATAATTGTATCCCCCGGCAGTATGCCGATGGGGTACTTTGGATTCAGCAACGTTATACATGTACATGTACATCGCCGCATCCGCCGCCTTGTCATATTCTTGTGTGCGCTCTAACTGCTACATTCCTTGACAGATTTCTTTCAAATTTTGTATGAAGGTGTATCTTGGTATAATCTACGCACATATAACTTTTGGTGATGCTGTCACCAGTGTTCGTCTATGTTAGGGTCAAAGGTCATATTTTGGTGGGTGTCTAGTGTGTGCTCTGCAGGTCATATTTCATGACAGATTTCTTTCAAATTTTGTATGCATGGTTCTTGGTACAATCTATGCATCTTCACTTTTGGGTGATGCTACCCTCATTGTTCCGTCTCTTATATGGTCAAAGGTCAAGTGTCTTTTATACGCTCTAACTGCCACATAGTTTCTTGACAGATTTCTGTCAAATGTTGTATGGAGGTGTGTCAATCTACACATCTTTAGTGTTTGGTGATGCTGCCACCTGTATTCTGTCTGTTATAGGGTCAAATGTCATATTTTGGTGGCTGTCTCTTATGCACTCTTACTGCCACATTTCTTGATCGGACAGATTTCTTTCACATTTTCTACAGAGATGCATTATACTCTAATCTACACACAATGTTTTGGTGATGCTGCTCCTAGTCTTGACAATAGTCCGAGCTGTTGTATCTCTGATACACTATAACATGTGTGCTTTACCTGAGAGCTAAGGGAGTGTCCTTTCTACTTGGCTGCTGGTAGTGAAGTGGCAAGTTTACAGCAGTGACATTCTTCCTATAGTGGTTATGGTATGCTATTCAGGTATCTATTGTCCTATTGTCACTGGCTGGTATGTACATTACATTGGCATGTACATATGTACATTACATTGGTATGCATTGCAGCTGGTATGTCTACTATGTTGTTCCATATATACATAACACTCCTTCCGCATCACATTGTTTGTTCATCATGAAAATAAAATATCATTTCCATAATTCCATGTATCTCATAGATTCATCACGATATCGTCAAAATTAATTCTTCTTCTTTCAAGGACTTCCAAAGTTTTCATCTTGGCCCAAAATATTGATACCTCCTGGTAGTGAGTCAAATAAGTCATATGCTGCTCCACATGGAGATCCAACAAATCAATTAATTAATGCATGCATTTTAAAAGATTCCTTCTTGGAGTTGAAACAAATATAATGTATGCATGCATTCTGCTTCTCTCTATAGTTACTTATAATCCAGCCTGTTCGATGGACGTCGATCACGAACAGGATTTCTGTTTATTCTCCCTGCGGATGTAGTTTGTTCCCGAGGAGGTGATGTTGGTCCATCAGACTGGTCATATGTGATGCTAGTGTAATAGGTATATCACCGTCATCCTCTAAGGTATATGGAGGAAGGTCATTAATGGGTCCTCTTATGATTTGATCAAGATGAACCTGTTTTTGTTTATCACCAACTTGAACAACATATCTTACTGGTCCCAAAGCTTGCACAATGACTCCATAGTCCCACTTATTTTTTCCTCTGTATGCACATACCATGACATGCTGACCAGGTGAAAACTGACGAATGCTGGTACGACCTCTGTCATGTGTTCTCTTGGCAGCAGCCTGCTTCTTTTCAGAGTTTTTTCAGGTCGCCACTTAGCAGCTGTTTGTAAGAATAATACCCCATTCACAGTGGTTTTGAAATTTGTAGCGGCGTTGTAGCAGAGCGGCGACACCGCCATAACACCGCTACAAATGCATCCACAGTAGAAAAGTTATCCCGCTGCAGCAGCGGGATAAATATCATGTACCCATTCACGCTGCAGCGGGTGATTTTTATTACCTCCGTAACAAACACGTGTATGCATGGCTCATGACCCGCGAGTGACCCCGATATGACCGGAAATACTTCAGCGCGGGGTTTTCGATTGCTTGAAATTGCGCGCGCTAGCTGTACTTTACACACTCTTCCTCATGTACCTGTAGCTAGCTCGATGAGGCAAGCTTGCAAAAGGTAAACATGTCAAGTTGCTTTTTGTATCCTCGATCATATTACTTTTTAAAAAACTAGCATTTTTATTGCTTCCAGTCAGAATATTTTAATTTTTTGAAGTGTGAAATATTTTTATTTGGATAATTATAATATCTACATAATAATAAAATCAATTTGAATCCACTGGTTACTTTATTTCTATTTCACTTTATGTTCCCCATTGCTGGAGAAAAGAGGTCAGTGATAGGTAAGTAAACAAATCACACGTGTTTGTCGCGGTGTTATAGCGGAGAGCCTTCACACTGAGTAAACACCGCGACAGCAGCGGGACTGTCCCGCTGCTGTAGCTAGGCGAACCTAGCGATAGTTTGTCGCGGCGTTATCGCGAGGCGGTGTTATCCCGCGATAGTTTATAACGGGTCCGAGCCTTCACACTGAAGACAACACCGCGACAGCAGCGGGACAGTCCTGCTGCTGTCGCGGTGTTTGAGGCCACTGTGAATGGGGTATTAGTCAACCAAATTTGTTGTTTCTGAATTATGAGAGGAAGGTGATTGTGAAATGCATACCCTTGGGTTGTTCACGGTGTCTGAGAAGTCAAAGGATGATGCACTCACAGTGACTGTTGAAATTAATGATAGACCAGTAATCATGGAAGTTGATACTGGTGCGTCAATGAGTTTCATTTCAGCAGACTTGTATCATGGGAAATTGCAGCACATAAAACTGGATAAACCTACTTACAGATTCAAGTCCTACTCAGGCAAATTGCGAAAACTGCACTGAAGGAAAACCAGAGGTCGAAGATCCCAATAAACAGCTGGAAACAGAGGCGGCGGACCCAGGGGGGCAGGGGGGCACAGTGCCCCCCACTTTTTCAACTACCCCAAAAGGGCCCCTTTTTCCATAGGAAAAGTGCCCCTTTAACTATCTAAGAAGCGCTCCTTTTTACATAAAAAGTGCCCCTATTACTGTGATAAGTGCCCCTATTAATTTTTAAAAGTGCCCCTCCCCTTTCCACCTCTGATACGTGCCCCTTTTATTTTGACACATATTTTTTTCCCTGACAAATTCCCAGTTTTCTTTGCAATAAGTGTTTATTTTCCATTCTCATAAGTGCCCTTTTTAATCTCTAGTAAGTGCCCCTTTTCGGGTACGAGAAGCACCCTCTTCACCTCTGATAATTGCCCTATTCAAATTTTAGAGGTGCCCCTTTTACTCTGACAATTGCCCCTTTTCCTTTGTAAGAAGTGCCCCTCCTTTCCCTTTTAATAACTACCCCTTTTTAACTCGGATAAGCGCATCTTATATTTTCACATGCGCCCCCTTTCCTTTCTAATAAGTGCCCCTTTTCCTTATGATAAGTGCCCCCATTTAACAAAGAGCCCTTCGCCATTTCATAAATGCCCCTTTTCACCTATGAAAATAGTCCTTTTTCATTCTCATACTAGTGCCCTTTTTCATGTCTTGTAAATGACCCTATTCAATTCTGAGAGATACTCATTTTATTTCGACAAGTGCCCCCTTTTCCTCCTGATAAGTGCTCTTTTCATCTCTAATAGCACCCCCTTTTATTTTGACACTTGCCCCTTTTTCTTACTTTATGCTCTTTTTCCTTCATATAAGTTCCTCTTCGCTTTTTCATAAAAGCCCCCTTTCACCTCCAATAAATGCCCCTATCAAAATCTGATCGGTGCCCCTTTTCTTTCAATTTCCCTTTATTATTAGTGCCCCTTTTTCATTCTCATAAGTGCCTCTTTCATATAAGGTGTGTGCCCCTTTTCACCTCTGATAATTAACCTAACAATGATACGTGCCCCTTTTCCTTTCTTATAAGGAACCTATCCCTTTTTCATAAATGCCCCTATCAAAATCTGATGGTTGCCTCTTTTCCGTCGACAAATGCCCATTTTCACCTCTGATCATAACCCTTTGTACTTTGACAAGTGCTCCTTTTATTTTCTAATAAGTGTCTTATCCCTTCGATTAGTGTCCCCTTTTCCTCTCATCATTAAACGTGCCCCTAATTTCAAGCGACTAAGAGCAATATCTCCCAAAGTTTGCTCACTACGCTTGCTCACATTTATAGATGTTATAATTATGTTACTTATCAAAGGTCTTTTCAGTTTGCTGTTATGAGAATGTGCTTATTTATAACCTGATGAGGATTGGTTTTTTCCTCTTTATAAGTTGTAGTTTTCGCACTGCGACCTCACAAATCTAAAAAAAATTCTTTGCTCGCTTTGCTCGCTCGCAAATGATTTTTTTTTACCATCACACCCAACTGCAAGGTATGATGCTTAAGCAATATTGTATACGATGTATAAAGAGAAACAAATATTAAAATCATCCCTGATAATGTAATCAAATTATAGGGGTATATACCAATGTCTAAAAAATTGAATATTTTCGCTTTGAGATTTCCCTTTGTAGGTGCCCTTTTTCCCCAGAAAGTGCCCTTTTTTGTTAGTGTCCCCCCACATTGGAAGTCGCTCCGCCGCCTCTGGCTGGAAATAGACGCTCTTAAGAAAGATTTCAAGAAGCTTCAAATGCAATGCAAAGAGCTTCAGCATGTCAACCTCTCTTGGGAGAAATACAGCACCAAGAAAGTCAGTTCGAGCAGCGGCAGATACAGTTCTCGAGCAAGAAAAAACCAGCTCATCACAACACCAGTTCTAAGGTGCAAGGAGCTTGTTATCGATGTGGACAGGGGCAACACCCTCCATCAACTTGTAAGTACATGTACAAGTCGTACAAATGCAATAACTGTGGAAAGGTTGAACACTTAGCAGCTGTTTGTAAGTGTAAGTCAACCAAATTTGTTGTTTCTGAATTACGAGAGGAAGGTGATTGTGAAATGCATACCCTTGGGTTATTCACGGTGTCTGAGAAGTCAAAGGATGATGCACTCACAGTGACTGTTGAAATTAATGATAGACCAGTAATTATGGAAGTTGATACTGGTGCGTCAATGAGTGTCATTCCAGCAGACTTGTAGCATGAGAAATTGCAGCACGTAAAACTGGATAAACCTACTTACAGATTCAAGTCCTACTCAGGGACATTGCCTCTGTTGGGTCAAGCCCAAGTCAAAGTGCAGTATGGTGACAAAATCATGTCTGACGTCTTTATTGTAGCAGATATCAAGGACCAGCCTGCAATTCTTGGTAGAAATTGGCTCGAAAGCATCCAGCCGAATTGGAGATCAGTGTTCAAAGTTGCACCAGTGAAGGATGATCCATTTCAAGGAAGTACCCAACATGGACTGTCTGAAATTCAACGAAAACATCAGGCAGTTTTCGAGCCAGGTCTCGGAACCATGACAAATCACAAAGCTAAGATTAAAGTCAAATCTGATGCACAGCCCTGCTTCAATAAAGCAAGACCTGTATCTTATGCCTTGAGAAATAAGGTAGAAGCTGAGCTTGACAAACTTGTTGAACAAGGAGTTCTCATTCCAGTTTCACACAGCAATTGGGCTGCTCCTATTGTTGTAGTACCGAAGTCTGACAAGTCGATTCGAATCTGTGGGGATTATAAGACTACTATCAATCCTGTTTTGGATGTCGTCAAGTACCCCCTACCGAACCCCCAGGATTTGTTCTCAACCCTGGCAGGTGGATGTTGTTTCACCAAGCTTGACTTATCACAGGCATATCAGCAGATGACTCTTTTCAGCTTAGCAGCGACCTCTCTACATCATCCTTTTGTTTCAGGGAGGGAAGAGGGGATCTTTGTCCCTCCTTCGAACATAAAGGTTGACACAAAATCCCCGCCACTGCCGGGGATGCATTCGCATTGCGCAGCAATACAGATTGCAATATTTCTAGTTACATTTAGGGTAAATGTATGATTGAAATTTTCTTATGGGAAAGTTTTTTTTCTTCAAATTAGCTTATTACAAGGTCATACTCTAGGTCAGAAGACCCTGCAAGATACAATATACGTCACATAAATGCCAAATTGGTTTGTATTGAACACATCTTCAAATATCAATAACTTTGTTTTATTAAATCGGTTGTTGCGCGTGCGCATGCTCAAATTTTAACCAACCTGTTTTTTCTTATTTTTCTGCTTCTATCAAACCAACTTAATATTGGGTGGCCTTCCTCCCCTTTCATATGATAGATACATGTATTGTATGTGATTAGAGATATTTCACTCAAGGCAGTTTTGAGGAAAAACAATATAGAATTGATTTTTCTTATGATTATGACTAGAAGTGAAGCTTTATAGCATGTGTTGTATAACATTGGGTAGATAATGATATAGGTTTTCCCGCCCAATTTCATCAGAGTTGCATTCGATTTCATGAATAGACATTCAAGTTCGAACAATTTTCGTCAACTTTCTGCTCTCATGGTTCATTTACCTTCTTTGAGCATTCAATGTTGTTTTATATCATTTTAAATTTTATTTCATTCAATTTAGAGAGAAATCCATTCAATTTAGTGACACAAAGTTGTCATTCAATTTCGCGCCAGCTGGATAGACGTTCAATTTCGTCCTTAATACCAATTTCAATTTCATTTATAGGCACACACCTTCGCACTTTGAACGTTCAAAATAAATTAAAATAAACAATTTTTGTAGTTCTATGTAATTCTTACCGCAATTTGTTCACGTCATATTTACTTTTTTCACTGTTTTAAATCATATAATTTCATTTTCATTTTAAAACTTTCATACTGTTTATTTTAATCATATTTTGTATATTTTTTTTTACTTCTTATCCTCTCTTCCAGTTTCACTTTATTCCCTAGCAGTATGGATATAACACTTACAGAATTCTTATAACTCATAATTTTGTTACATGCAAGTAAGTACTTATCATGTACTTACTTACGTTATTATCTTGTAAGATATTTCAATATAAGGCAAAGGTCCCATTTCAAGGTACATACAATTTGCATAATTTATTCAATCAGTGCAGATTGCAAAGAACTTGAAGAGTTTTTTTTTAAAAGACTGCCCAAATGCTATAAATAATTGCCTATTCATGAATTTGAATACCTTAACGTTCATCAGGGCGGTGCAGGTGTGAATTTGAATGCATTTACATGCTTTTTTAATTTGAACGCGTTTTTTACACATATATGTGAGAAAATCATGAAATCGCATGCTAATTCAATTAAATTGAATGAACTAGATAGCTTTTTGAATGCTGATCTCGGTGATCATTTAAATTCGCTCGAAATTGAATGATCGCATCGTTAAATCAAATGCAATTCTGATGAAATTTGACGGGACAACCTATAATAATAATTTTTAGATTAATACAAAATTCTCATTTTAGGCTACATTCAATAGGAAGAAATAAGAAGGGAGAGTGATTCTTGCCTTTGTTTTGGACTTTGATGTATTTAGTGTCGGTCACATTCGCATTTGCAAGAAGGAGAATTTGCATAATCCTTATGACTTGGGACCACCTCTAGTCTGGCCCTTCCCCCTCCATTTTTTCAACCTAAATACGCTACTGGCTGTTATTTGGAAGAGGCATTATAGTGATACGTGTGTGAATGTTGCTTCATTTCAAAGAACGTCAACTACGCGCTGTGGAACGCCATATGACATGTGACACAAAATCACTTCAAATAATTGATTTTGTCACAAAAGCAATCTCACAATGTGATTTTGTCACAAAATCAATCTCACATAGTGAATTTTGTCACAAAATCAATCTCACATAGTGAATTTGTCACAAAATCAATCTCACATACGTTAGTGAATTTGTCACAAAATCATGGATTCACACCCATGAGAAATTTTGTAGATTGAATCATTTCAAACCGCAGGTGATTTTGTCCACGGAAACAAACCCGCGAGTAATTCTGTCCACTAGTATCCGAATTAAACAAGGCACTTCCAGATTAAAGATGCTTATGATCAAATAGACATAGATATTTGAAATGCTTGAATTAATCTAGAAGATACGTAGAAGATTTCCTGATGCCAAATCGGTTTCATTGATATTAAACGTTAAACTATAAAATATTAAAAATTATATTCTGCATTACACATTTTTTGGTTTTTGATTGGTTGAGAGCTGTTCACGTGACCACAAATATTTCAACCATTTTAAGGTTGCTCTGAGTACTATTTGGGAGTTGACAATTCCAAAATCTTTCCTTTTCTGTATTGCTCTCATAATATGGTTTTGTGTGGCTGTTGGTGCGTGCATTTATATACATGGTCAATAAATTCTGTAGAAAATGTTTGGTCTTTTTTTTCTCCCCCTTCTAGAAATATATATATACCTTGTAATTTTGTATTTCTTGTGCAATTTATTTTGATATTGTGTTCACTCATATCCTCATATACCAAACACAACTTTCTTCTTAGAGGATCTGACCTGTAATTTGTAAAAGAAAATTCATGCCAAATGAATATAATTAGATTAAAAGCCATGCATGTGGAGATTCAGTTCAAGTTTAAGTGTTTATAAGATGGACATTATTTTGTATCAATCATCAATTTCTGACCTTTTCCAAGTTTGATTGATTTTTAAAATTTGTCATAGAGTTTTCTGAGAGCCAATTTTACTAAAGGCCTGAATTCACCAAACTAAACCATAGCAAGAAATCTCCTGACTTTGGGTTCTTGTGCACATGAAATCCCGAGTAAAGAATACCTTAAACACATTAAATTCAAAAATATATTTATGCATATTAACAATTTCAATGTAAGTAGGAGTTACACTATTAAATGCAAAAAGGCTGGAAGCCCTATAAAGAATAGATATAGAATTTTGAAAAAAATCACTATTACTAAATCATCCTCTCCATGGAAACGTTAGTATGTTCTCTTAATTCAAGAGACAAGAATCAAATTTGAAAATAAAATCTATTTCATCATTTTTTGTGAGAATAACACGTTATTATAAATACAAGTATGGATTGTATGGAATTTGTATAAAATGTAAAAATATAGTGAGAAATTTGTAAATAAAATAAATGCAGGTATTGATGAGTTACTTAATTATATTCATCATAAACGCAGGTCGAGACCCTCAATCTTGATTATGTCAAGTGTCCCACACCAGCCTCATCGCATCATCTAGTAGAAGCACTTTGTTCTATGCCAAACCTTACTGACCTGACACTTGGAATGTATCTCAATGATGAGTTCTACTCTTTATTGAAAGCAAATGCATCATCCATACAGGTATGTGTGTCCCAATGGTAATGTCATGGAGAGGTTCATTGAAAGAAAGAAAGAGTAGTAATGATTATATGGTGCACATGTATACACCATTTTTTCCAAACACCCTTTTTTAATGGCCATTCACTTGGTATATTGGTACAGTCATAAAAAATAAAATAAAAGCAAACTATACATGTACTGTTTCAGCTGAAATCCAAATGTGTATAAGATTGACTTTGTCTTGATCAATAATCAATATCCAACCTTTTCCAAGTTTGATTGTTATGAAAAATATGTCATACAGTTTTATTACTGCCAATTTTAATAAAGGCCTCAATTTACCAAACTTAACCATAGCAACAAACCTCCTGACAAGGGTCTTGGGGGCAAATGAAATATAGAGTTATGAATACCTTCAATACATTAATTTCAGTATATGTAGGAGTAGGACCTATCAATGCAAACAGGTTGGAAGTCCTATAAAGAGTACATATAGAGTTTTTATTTAAATCACTCTTATTAAATCATCCTCTCCTTGGAAACGTTAGTGTGTTCTTTTTTCAATAGACAATAATTTAATGTGAAAAGAAAATCTAATAATTTTTGCTGAGAATGTTATTATGAATGAAACTATTTAATGAATGGAATTTGTATAAAATGTAAACATATAATGAGAAATTTGTAAATTAAATATATGCATGTATAGATGAGTTACTTAACTATGTTCATCATGAACGCAGGTCAAGACTCTCGAGCTTTCTCGTGTCAAGTGTCCCACACCAGCTTCATCTCATTATCTAAACGTTATTAACTCTTATTAAATCATCCTCTCCATGGAAACTTTATTATGTTCTTTTTATCAATAGACAAGAATTGAATTATGAAAAGAAAAAGCTATTTATAAATGTTTGCTGAGAATTTATTATGAAGACAACTATGTAATTAATTGAATTTGTAGTTAATGTAACAATACAGTGATAAATTTGTAAATAAAATGTATGCATGTACAGATGAGTTATTTAACTATATTCATCATGAATGCAGGTGAAGACTCTCAAGCTTCATGCTGTCACACCAGCATCATCACAGCTCCTAGCAGAAGCACTGTGTTATATGCCAAACCTGTCTGACCTGACACTTGAAACGGATCTCAATGAGGAGCCTGAGGAGTTCTTATCTTCATTGAAAACACATGCATCATCCATACAGGTATGTGTGTCCCAATGGCAATGTCATGGGGAGGTTCATTGCAGACAAAAAAGAGCAGTAATGATTATAGGGGGCACATGTACATATAATTATATTTTTCTTCTTCCAAACACCCTTTGTTTAACAGCCATTCACTTGGTATATTGGTAGTCGTGAAACATGGAATAAAAGAAAACTATAATGTACGTAGTGATTCAGTTGAAATCCAAGTGTGTATAAGATTGACATTGTTTTGATCAATAATTAATATCCAACCTTTTCCAAGTTTGATAGATATGAAAACTATGGTATGTCTAAGTATAAGATTTGTTCTAACAGGTAGTTTTTGTATACTTGATTTCAGTATCATAATTAAATTACTACTGCTTTAGTGAATACTACTACCAGTACTACTACAGTAAAACTACCACTATGATTAATATAACAGGATTTCATGAAATTGCAGTATGTATTGGATCCATTTATTTTTGAAATTTTTGTAAATTTCTTGTGCAAAATTTGTCTTACCCTAGCTCTTTTAAATTATCCATACTTATTTTGTTTATGAGATGTTACTGTAGCTCTTAGGTGTATAGTCCCTAAGAAAATAGATTATATGCCATAATGAAATGGATCCACTTATTTGTAACTGTTTACAAGTAATGTTGTTGTTATATGTTACAGGGTTGTTTTCCTCAGATAAGAAAGGGAAACTTCAGATTCAATGGAATTGCTCAAGATGGCTTGAACTCATTTCTTCACACCCTCTCAAGGTTAGTACAGTAAGCCTATATGTGATTTAAAAATAAATTCAGATATTAGCATGTAGAAATTTCATGAGTAGTGCGATACAGAAACAATATAAAGGGCCTCTAATGGAATACTAAGAAAAGATACAATTCTGATATATACCACATCAGGTAGCACGCAATGAAGTGATACTGTGATCCTGTCTGACAGCACAAAATATTCAGTAACAGCTTATTGAACAAATTCCCTACTGTAAAGATCTTCAACCTTAAATGTGTAGTTCTTTGTGTGTTCTTAATATTTTTGTTAGACTGCAATCTCTTTTTTTCTTCTTCATTAACTGATCAAAATGTTTCTTCAGACTGGTACTTTCACTAATACCAATAGTAGGTGATTTGTTATACATTATCTTTCAAACAGATAAATAAGAAAACTCTGTTTCCTTCACAGCTTTAATACATTACTCGGATTGGTCAGCTGACTTAGCCAACATCAGTGTTACCACTCTCATGGGCTATTGGTATCTTATATTATTATGTTAATGTTCTTTGGAAAATGTTATTTGAATTCATGTTCAATTCAGTTTTTACTGCCAGACACGAAGATTCTAATAAAACCCATTTATCTATTTATTTATCTGTTGTACACTCATGGGTGATGTGCACTCTTCAAGAAGGAGAATACGTTCATCAGACTACCCTCAACACCAACACATGGGTGGTGTACACTCACCAAGAAGGACAATACGTTCATCAGACCACCCTCAACACCAACATATGGGTGGTGTACACTCATCAAGAAGGACAATACGTTCATCAGACCACCCTCAACACCAACATATGGGTGGTGTACACTCATCAAGAAGGACAATACGTTCATCATACCACCCTCAACACCAACATATGGGTGGTGTACACTCATCAAGAAGGACAATACATTCATCAGACCACCCTCAACACCAACATATGGGTGGTGTACACTCTCCAAGAAGGACAATTCCACCATCAGACCACCCTCAACAGCAACCGATGGGTGATGTACACTCTTCAAGAAGGACATTACCACCATCAGACCACCCTCAACAGCATGATGGCTTTACATCAGATGCTGTATGTCAATTCTCTCAGACACACAGAGAAGGTAGCAGTAGTCAGAGCAAGCCTTACAAGAGGCAAGCTCCTTCTACTCAGTCAAGAGTTCCACAGGATGATCCTGAAATTCCAGAGAAGCAATCAAAGTATGACATCTAGTTGCTATGGTATCGGTAGATTAAGACAGTGTCCCAGTGGTAACACTTCATCTTGTTTTTGTGTTTGTATGATACAGGGCTCCACACTAACTTTAATTTTTGGAAAAAAGGTTCAGATTGAACTTTAAAAGTGTGTATGCATGAGTCCTAAGAAAAAACTTTGAAATTCGGGGGTCCGGAACTAGAGTTTTGGCAATCCATGTGTCCCAGCTAGCCTGTCGGTTTTGAGTCCTGGGCCTGTATTCAATTCAATACTGAAGTACAAAATTTAAGCTTTTTACTTAGTATTTGGCTTAGAAAATTACTTAGCCAATTATGGTATTCAATTGACACTTTTGGCTAAGTATTTTACTCTAAATCTAAGCCGACTCCATACCAGACTTAAGCAATTGTTTGTAGGCCTTGATTGGCAGGCATACGGTTTTCTTACGCAGTATTATATCCTGCGCACAATTATATCAGCGCGCAGTTATTGCAATGCGTCAATTGCGCATTAGTTTTGATTGACCGTGTGACGTCACAATGCTTATCAGTAAGTATTTTACTTAGATTTTGTCTTACGCAAGTATAAGTCTAAAATGCAATTTGAATACGAGATTAGTCAATTACGGTACTTAACTTAGCCATTTCCTTAGTAAGTTTCTAACTTATGCTAAGTACTGAATTGAATACCGGCCCTGGTCTAATAGCAAGAAATTTGGGGTAAATAGGGGTAATTTGGGGCAATATTTGCAAACATTTGAATATTATTTAAAAGGCTGTGTTCTTGTTTTTCACCTCAATGAGTACAGTCTCTTATCTGGTGTTAGTGTATGAATTTTAAAAGAAAGAGAACATAATATTGTCACAATGTTTGAATACATGTGAAAGGCCTGTGTAAAAAGTGATGCAAACATTGGATACGTTTTGTGAATGTGTACTCAATAAGCCCAAAACAGAGTTGCATCAAGGGCCCATTGTGTACCTGTTTTATGCAGAAAGGGGTCATGTTGTGTGGTAAATGTTTTTTAAAATACTCTAAATAGGGGGTCATTTTTTTACTCGGCTATGATTATTATGCATGTGTATAGAAGGTGGCTATTGATATAGTGCACACGCCCATTGCAGCATGACCCTCCTGGTGCTTAAACATTATTACCCTGGTCCTAGGCAGCGGCCAAATATGTAGCGCTTTTGCATGTCGGGTGCACAGTAATACCTGGGTGGAGAGTGGCAGATGTGGATTAATGCCCTGTCAAGGATGTTAGTGCTGGGCTAGCTGAGATTTGAACCCTGAACCCTTAGATTGAGTCTAGTGAGTGAACCACTATACCAGCTCTTAATGCTATCATGTCGACTAACTACTCATAATTAAGGATGTAGTTACTTAGTGGAATTTATGTGAAATGTAAGAATACATAAAGAACTTATTAAATAAAATGTATGCATGTATAGATGAGTTACTTAACTATATTCATCATGAACGCAGGTCAAGACTCTCATGATTATTGATCAAAACAATGTCAATCTTATACACACTTGGATTTCAAGCATGGTATTTGTTTGATAATAAATGATGATTAAATAAAATCTGAAATGATATGTTTGATTTATCACCAGAAATGACCCCAGCTATTAAAAGAACTATTACTTTATCTATATTTTCAACGAACCGCCTGCAATTGAAGATTTAGTTACTTCACAACAAGTGCTGTTCGTTAATCAATGTCTGTCATACTCTCAGTACACAATATCGTCATGAAGTAAAATTAGTGTAGACTATTTCTGTGTTTGCACTTTTTTCTGCTCTAAGCGTTCTTCCATTTTTTATCACAGCGCTCTTCTTGAAACCATTTATTAAAGGGTTGTAGCATGACGAGACTATATATGTCTTTCCCGTGGTCTGACTCGGGACGAATCGGGTATAATACGAATATGGACGACATAGCCGCAGTATTCACGTTCGTGCAACATACGCAAAACCAAGGCGTGAGGAGAACTTTAGTCTGTTTTGCGAACGCCAGCGCGCGCTGACCGTTAATCAAGTCCATTCGTGTACGTGCAGTTGTCCAAAAAAAGTTGTATATGGCGTTAACCATTATTTGCCATGCTACACCCCCTTTAAATTGATGCCCATGTAAAGCTGAAATAAATGTTTAAAAATGAGTCGATCATACAGTTTGAATAATGCATGTAGAGAGTATGTGTATTGTAGACTTCAATCATTTTGCTTTAGGTAATTTACATGCAATGTATAAAATACCAACTAACTTTCACAGAGTGAGTTATGAGTGAAAGAATATAACATTTCAAATTATCTTCACAAAATGTCATTGCACATGTTCAATGAAAATATAGTTAGTCTAAATAGTTACCAGGAATTACCCAGATGTTAAGAGCCATACTGCTCTAGTTATCTTGTCAACTAACTTGATAGAACTCAATAATAGTTGAGAACTAGCTTTTTCTGGTAAGGGTGTATGAGCATGGGTCTGAGTTATCAGTGTAACAGTTAGTTGGAGATGTATTATTGTTTGTAAATTTAGAACTACATTCAGTTCTAGATTTTAAAATCCATATGAGGAAATATTTTCAGGATTTTCTTTACAACACTCTAGTGTAAATGTAAATATGCTGCTATAATTTTAAGATACGTGTCTCTTTTGTCAATGTAACGTGCCTGAGTAATCAGTGTAATATTTAATTTGAAATTGATTATTGTTTGTACATGTTTAACTACAATCACCAGTGACCAGTACTACATAATAAATCCATCCATTTCTTACATCACTCCAGTGTACATATAAATATGCTGCTATAATTGTACGATTCAAGTTTATTCTAATTGTATTCAGTACTGGACTTCAATAATTTGTATGATACATATTCCAGGCTTTTCTTCACCTCATTATGATTATGCAATGGTATCATACATCATAACATGTATATTTTGAACTTGTTTGTTTGCCATACATACAGTGTAAATAAGAGTAATATTTTAGTAAGTTTGCATTCCTGATTGGCTTATAAAATAGAAACGTAAGCAGTACTCTTATGAGCATTCTGTTACCTTGCCTTTTGATCACCATCCTCTTCTGATTAAGTGATGACATTTTTATAATCCACTCTGATTTTCATAATAGACAATGCGAATCGCTCAGATCTGTGAATTTATTCTGAATTATGTCATGCAAAAGGATGTACTTAACAGGTCTTTTTATGTATATTGGATGATCATGAATTACTGAAATAAAGTTTGCAGTGCCTTTTATATTTCAACATTTTGATGTACAAAGGAGACATTAGAATGTGTTAGTTGTTGTTTGATGATGGTGTATTTGTATCCTATAGCTGAAATGGTGTCACATGACATTCAACATTGTTTCTCGATAAACATTTTATTGAAACACTGAATACACTGAAAGTGGATCAGCTATTTTAAACTCTAATAATGGACAAACACGTTTACCGGTAAACTTCAGTAAATTCTTCATCAAAATAAAGCTTTGATTCCATTACTAATTTAAGTATGTGTACATTAAATGATATGAATTCAATATTATTTTCATGCTTCTCTTTCTTTTTCTTATATCAAATTGTTTAATCAATATTCAAACAACAATTTACTGGTGCCAGTCATTTTTTTAAAAATTGCTTCCAATAATCTTGTCATTAATTATTATTATGATTATTATTGTTTTCATTGTTATTGTTAATATTATTATCACAATTTTAATTGTTATCACTATCGTCGTAAGTGATATTTTCATTGATTACAATTAATTCGATTGAAATTGTATATTGTACGGTGTTTAATGACGATTTCATATTGATTGTAAACTTTTCCAATACCCCAATGTGGGTGACATGAGAATAAATTTTCATTGCCATTGTCATATATAGTTCTCTACGTGTACCCATTGTTTGCATTGTCTCAACTGCACGCATCTGACGTAAAGGCAACCTGCAACTAATCAAGAGGGCATGACTCCAAACGTGCGCAAATACCAACAGTTATATATAATATTGCATACATATCATTATTCAGTGTAACATGTATTCACCTCCAAATTCAGAATCCCCCTTGTGCCATTATATTTCAACCTCAGCCTAAAGCCTCAGTGAATTATAACATCACTCTGGTAATACTGGTTTATTCCGGTTCATATACATACATGTTTACAAAGATATATATATGTATCGGTAATTTATGCAAATATGATTACTTACCGTAATGAAGATGTAATGATATGATAATTTTCTCTGTCATTTGGGGGGATGTGCGCTTCTTCGGGTATACTTGTTGTGGTCATGGACCTGCTACTCAGTAGGTCCATGCTGTGGTCGATGCATCGTTGGGTAGTTGTTTTCTGAGTGTATTTTGCAAATAGCTTTATATATTCCATATATTATTTGTTGTTGTATTCATGAATCAGTTATCTTTGTCACATCATCTGAGGGGCCTTAACTTAACAAGCTATGTTTCAACCAGACAATTAGGTCTCCTCGTCTTTCTTTATTCTACATTGTACTGTTATGATTATACTATTATATTTTGTTACATGTGATTTCTGGAAGACAAATAATTTTTATACTTGACACTTGATCACTTGATACTTGATATTGTTTTTTATTTTTGGCCTATAATTTCTAGCACATGTTTTCCTACATCCTCAGAGAAAAAAAAATACTTTCATGAAAATGTAAAAATGGTTGATAGTAACTCGACTAATGTAAATATATTTTTATATTTGTTATATTTGTGTGATTTGATAGATGTAAGTTAACAACACTGGCATAGGAACCGGGGGGGGGGGGGGGATATCCGCCTGCCCACCCCCTCCCTCCCCTCCCCCACTTTTTATGGCTGAAAACCCCTTATTTTGTGCATTTTTAAAATTCTAGATATATAAGGTCAATTTCTTCCATTATGCCTGACACAATTTGACACTAGCATAATTTTAGCATAATTCTAGATATTTGCTCTCTCTCTCTCTCTATCTTTCTTCTTTTCCATTTTTTTCTGTACCGCGACTTCCATCCAATCAGTTTAAGCCTTTCCTTCAGTGCATGACCAGACCATGCAGACAAGACTCGAAATTTGCCTGCAACATACTAAGCAAAGAACTGATGATAAACAAAGTTGATGATCGTTATTCGATTTAGTCACACTCTGTCCCATGCGCGGGAGGATTCTATCATTGAAAAGAATTAACAGTTAAAGGGGAAGTCCACCATAGCTCGTTGTGATCAATCAAATACAAATTGGCAACTCTGCTGTAAAGTGTTGTACACTAATTATGATTTATAATAAGAGTCTTCTTGAGGCTGGATTTTGTAGAACTCAAATATGAACAACTTGTTGTATTTATTAGATGTATGTGAAGCCGCATTACAATCTGCGGTAGCAATAATCATGGGCATATGATATAGGTCATTTGTTGAACATACATGTAGATATAAAATGATATCATATCACAATCCCTCTTCTCAATGAAAACTTAATTTCATATTTAGATCCATACTGTTTAAAATATCTTTTTAAAATTCTTTGCTTAAGAAATTAAACTTGTGCTAATATGAACCTACAATTTCGTCCCTTTCTTTGTTTGTTTGTTGTTTTTTTTCTTCCAAAAACAATTTGAAAATTCTATCACATTTGTTTTTCATTTGAATGCGAATTGTTTGCTTATTTATCTAAAATGTTTTGATCAGACTTCAGTTATCATCTTGCTTTATAATGCAATAAACTTAATTAATAAACAAAACATGACATATTCAATATGTCTCTTTAAATCTAACTACTCAAAACCTTGTAAACATTGTTAAAGAAAGCAAAAGACAACAATTATTTAAATTATCTCCAACCATATCAATATTTTACATAT